AAAATAAATTGATTCATTATTAGACCTAATCAGATAAATAAAAAAATTGAATCAAAGAAATTACATAAGAAACGAAAACTTTTAAATAGTTAGTTTGGTATTAATATCGATATTTTTTTTTCAAAATAAAATATCTTCAAATTTATATTTATTCAAAAATAAAAACATTATCATTTTCTCAAAACCATATAAAACTATATTATATCAACAGACAAAGAATAAAAGGAAACAATAAAATCAAGATGTATCTCGCTACATTGTGCGAGTACCTTTCTAGCTTTAATTAATATATTGTAAAAGCTTTTATTTTGTTATATTTAATAATATCTCTAACAGATTTTCTAAAATAGAGAAAATAAAGTTTTTATTCTTTATTTTGCTTCAACAGATTCTTTATAGTATTTTGTAAAATAAGGAAAACTAGATGAGCATCTCTAACAAGTTATCTAAAACTAGTGTTCAATACCGTCCAGTGCACGGTAACGATAATTTTTTTTGAAAATACTGAAGTTAAATGGGGGATAATCACATATCAGATGTTAAACTAATATGAATCAATATTACACTGGATATGAACTTGTTTCATCATCCTCTATCATTTTACCGATAAAAATCACCCAGAGAAATTTTCGTAAGTGATTACAAACGGATCATCTAGAAAATAACTATGCTTCCGCTAAAATCGATGTTTTAAAAAAAATACCAACGGATCACCCAAAAATTACCTAGGTAATATGTCACTGATGTAAATTACCCACCAACTTTTGTGATGGTTTTGTAACAAACCACTCTTTAACTACAGATTTCCTAGGGAAACATTTGTAGGTAAAAGCCTTCTATTTAGTAATGTTTGGTTTCTAAAAAAAATAGTTTTTAATCATTTTATGTAAAATGAAAGGTATTATATTGATTCTAATTTATTTGTATATATAATTTGATTTCAATTTAAATTAAAAAATGAAATCGAATTGATTTGTGTATTAATAATTGTAGTAAGTTATTATTTCTAATTATATATATATATATATATATATATCTGTTTTTATCCCTTTTTTTTATACATATTGTTTCTAATAGATGACGGATTTTGTAATTAAATGTAATTCATAAATAGTTAATTAATATTCATCCATGAAAAGTTAGCAAAATGAGGTAAATTAAAGAAAAAAGGATTTTCTAAGGGGCTGTTTATTTAAACACTTACTCGGTAAGCACTTACTAGTAAAATTCAACACTATCGCTTACTTAGGGGGTGTTTGGTTTGATGGAATGATTTTCAGGGATTTGAATTTCATTAAAAGATTTGGAATCAGAAGGATTTGAAATCTCTGATGTGTTTGGTTTGATGGATTTGAAATGAAATGAAATATCATATTTTATAAATAATTTATAAAAACAAATTATCAGTAGCTATAAAAATAATTAAATTACCTTTTTATTAATGAATTATTTGAAGACACATGTTTTAAATATATTTTAAAGCATTATTATATAGAAATCCCGTGAAATCTCAACCACCCCCGTGGGATTCTAAAATCTTATGTTTGAAAGATTTCAAATAATTCCTCGGATGTTAAATCCGAACAATCCTACAAACTAAACATGAGATTATAATGAATTTGAAATACAAATTAGGCATGGCAACGGAGTGGAGATGGAGCAAGTTTTGTAATCCCCGGCCCCGACGGGTACGGGGATTATCATCCCGTCATCGGTCAAAATCCGGTAAAACCCCAATCAAACCCCATATATAGTATTCTTTAGTTTGATTCTACTGGAGATCCCCGACCCCGGTTTGAGTAACATCCCATGTCCCCGGTTTGAGTCTACCGGGGATCCCCGGCCACGGGACCCGTTTTAGCGGGGAATCCCCGTCCCCGTTCGGATCGGGTGAACCGAGGTCCCCACCGGATCGAAGCAAATCACCATCCATAATACAAATTCCTCCAAATCCATTTCATTACTACAAATTAAACACATCTCTTCACCTTTTTAATGACTAAAACATCAAGTAGGACCATTTTGGTGAACCAAAGCCTATTATGATTGAACGCAAAATTTAGTTTGGTGGGATTTGTTCAACCATTTGAGAATTTTTATTAAATTTATTATCTTTGTAAATAAGGTAAATTGTATGAAAAAGTAACGAATTTTAACTTGATTCATATCATGGGTAACATATTTTTAAAACTTTCATTTTAGTACCTAAGATGTAAAGTTTTAAACATTTAAGTACCCGGATAATTGGTTGAAGCATTAACCGGTTATCATTTTGATGTGGCGAGTGATGTAGTATCCAACTCAGTATTATTTGCTGACGTGGTTAGTGACTTGTATTTTTTAAATCTAAAATTAGTCTTCAACCGGTTACCCATTACTTGAATGTTTAAAACTTTATATTTCAGGTACCAAAATAAAAGTTTTAAGAGTAGTTGACAAATAAAAATTCTCAAAAATATATGAGTTTTTTTTTCAATTTAATTATTTTACCATAAAATATAAAAATCTTACTTTTATGGGTTGTTTTGTTATTGTAAGGGCAAATTGTATGAAAAAGTAACGTACTTTAATTTAATTCTTATTTTGGGTAATGTACTTTCAAAACTTCCATTCTGGTACCAAGATGTAAAATTTTAAACATTTAAGTACCCGGATAACCGGTTGAATATTAATTTTAGATTAAAAAAATCAATGTCACTAACCACGTCAGCAAATAATACTGAGTTAGATATCACATCACGCGTCACATCAGCATGATAACCGGTTAATGCTTCAACCAGTTACCCGGGTATTTAAATGTTTAAAACTTTACATCTTACCTATCAAAATAGAAGTACGTTACTTAATTAAACTATATTACTTTTTCATGCAATTCGACCTCGTGAAGAAAAAGAGAGAGAGAGAGAGAGAGAGAGAGAGAGAGAGAGAGACATAAAAAGAGTCAGAGATCCTGATGGTTCACTTCGTGGGTTTGGTGGAGCATCGGCTACAACATAATGAGCAGCAAAAGGCAACGACATGGTGCACGGAGGCAATGAACGTGACATGTTGTGGCAGAAGGCGAGCTAATTGCAACGAAGGGCTGCAAGCAAAGTCGTGTAACAAGGGAGTTTTGATTTGATGATGTAACGTGTAACCAAACGAGGTACCCATTAAGAGTTCATTGAAAATTTTGAACTCTGCAATTAAGTACCACTACACTAGCCTAAAGAGCGACGACGACGGATGGTTCATTTTACCTACTCAAAAGGCTACATCAGTGTCAGCCGTTAATAGTTGCTTTCAATTAATTATATACATAAATTTCAATACTTAATGATGGGGTTTGGTCTAAAACCTATTAAAAAAGGTAGTAACTATATTTGAAAAAAATTGCCCTGACTTTGTACATTTTTAATTTTAATTTTAATTAATTTATTTGGCTATACATTGTTAAATGCATCATTACCTAGTATTTTCCTTCTCTCACATCAACATCAAAACTCACTTTTTACATTACAATACATGAATTGACCTGATTTTGACATTAAAGGGGATACAAATAGTAATCCCCTTTATATATTGATGATTATTTATCAATTAATCTGACTTTCGACGAATAATCTGACAACTTATTACTTTAACAAAAATAAACTTATCAAATTAAATATTTTATTTAAAAATGAGAAAATGGGCCAAAAGTATTATAAACCTAAAGATAATAAGATGTAATGACAACCTAATTTTTACTTTTTATTTTTATGAAACAGAGGGGGGTTTATTTAGAAACCTTAACTATTTTGTAAATGTATGGATATATCTGCTCCATTCATTTATTTGATCCAACCGTTGTGGTTAAAATGTCTTTATTTAATTTAATTTAAAGAAAAAGACAATATTGTACATTTATTATCTGGATTATCAAGAGATATTTAAGTAATCGATTCCTTGATATTATTTTTGATATTACGGATCGACACCAGAAAGATCCAACTGATTTCTCTTACATGGATCCATTAAAACGTCACAAAAAAATCGCACAGAGAAGAATCGCCTCCTTAAGTTTTTGTTTCAGTCCAAACTATACAAAAGAGTCAGAAGCAGAGAAAAAGCAGGTATGAAACAAATTAACAAGCAAAATCAAACATAGATTTCTGAAAAGGTACGACGGTAACTGATATTCATCTGTTTTTAGGATCCTTATCTTAAAAGTCTGTTTCTTTTCTTAGAAATTCAATGAATGAGAAGATGTCGTGAAGATTCACAAGATGAAGCATTTCAAACAAAAGGCAAAGGTATCATCTAAGTTTTATTGCAATTTGAAATCACGGATTGATGTTTTGGTTATATCACAGACATCATAGCCATGAAAACTAGATGGACTCAGTTTTCTATGAACCTACGATAGGGACTCACCACATTAAGTTTATTCATTGGTGAATATTCGTGAGGCATATTAAAATTTCACATTATTCATGGACTGTCTGTTTATTCATGATTAATATAAAATTTTCACCACCATCCCCAACCACCACCTCACGCCACCCACCCACTAACTAACTAACCCTCGCCTACCTTATCACCCCACCCATCAATGCCATCCAATTTCACCACCATCAAAGACCCCCACCCACCATCCCCCAACCATGACCAACTCCTTTCCACCCTCACTCACCACATCACCAACCCCATCCAAATCCGTAAGACCACTTTTTTACACTTGAAACTTCATAACATAACACTGTGAAGGTAAAAACAATACGAATCTTTATAGCAAAAACATTGTACACAGTGTTTTGCTATGAAGGTTTAAGTTTAAAAAAATAGTCTCACGGTTCTTACGAAAACATGTTAGTCTTACGTGATCTCAAGTCTTTCTCTCTCTATATATAAACATTATATATATATATATATATATTGATATTCCTAATTTTTTACACGTAATTTTTTGAGTTTTTCCATAAATATTTCAGTTATTTAACAATGTCTAATAATTTTTATTTAATTCTTTATTAAATAAGCGAATAAAATTTATTCCCATGGGTGGTTCTTAGTGGATCTACAAAAGCCCAAAGAGCGAATTAGAGAAGCCAAGCCCATAACCATGTCCCACTTTGCTTCATTTTCTTTGGCCCATATTTGCAAATTCTATTTCTATCCTGCAAAAATGCATCAAACTTTTTTTTAATTAATATTTAATGTAACGAGTCGTTTAGACCCCGGTGCAATGTGGTAATCTCGTCCCGATGCTCTAGTTTGTGACGGAAACCAAATTCAGGTTCATGGTTAACCCGTATACGTGTGCGGGGTACTCTCGAGTGTCAGATGTTGACCTCTGTCTTTTCAAACTCAACGTCAAGTTTTTCATAACAGTTGTTGAGAATAGATAACGTTTGTGATCATCTCACGGCTATTAATCCCATATATATTTTAAATCTTCTTTTTAAATAATTGGTTTACGTTCTTAATGAATAAAGTTAAAGGTACACCAACCCATTTGATCAACTGATGGATGTGGTATCCTTTTCCGTTGAAGAAGTTAGGTTACCTAGCCGTGAAAATCATCATGGCTGAGACATGGTGCCCATCAGGGGAGACCTGTAAAACAGAGGCGGATCCAAAAAAAATCGAAATAGTTGCATCAATTTACTATCGTAATATAAAATAATGACTAAAAAAATACGGTTCTATCAACAACAATAAATTAGTTACTAACAAAAAATTAACCTTAAATATTAATAAATTACTAGAAGAGCACCCGTGCAATGCAGCGAGACACATCTCGATTTTAATTATCTATCTTATTATTTGTTTCTGTCGATGTTATAATACGATTTTATGTGTTTTTAAGAAAACAATAATGATTTTATTTTTGAATAAAATATAAATTTTAAGATATCATAAAATATCAATGTTAATATCAAATCAACTATTTAAAAGTTTTATTTTTTTATGTAATTTCTTTAATTTATTTTTTTTATTATAATTTAATTTAAGTTTAATAATGAAATAATTTATTTTTGGTTTAATAATATAAATTTTATAAATATAATAATTAAGTATTCTGTTATAATTCAATGATTATCCTAACTATATTTTAGATTTTTTATATTTAAAATTGGGATGTTTATCCTGTATTTGATTATGTTTATCTGCAGTTAGTTACACAAATTCAGATATGGAGCTTTAATAAGTTGTACTTACGCATAATCTATTTGCAATCTTGAGTTTTAAGTAATATGCATGAACAATACTTTACGTATAACAATGATTTTTAAGAATTTTTATCAAATACTTTATAATATAGTATAGATTCTCATTTTCCAGAATATTCCATGCTCCTACGCAAAACACACATGCAAATCCTGTGAATGAGATTGAGTTTTGCGCCCAGCTTCTTAAAGCTCCAAAAACCCGAGAGTATGTTTAGTTGGTCAGCTTCACGTGACATTTAACATTTAACTTGTTTAACTGATTATCAGTCAAAATAACTATAAAATAAAAGTTGTAAAAAAATATCTCCAAAAGCTTTCACGATAGATGGATTTTGAAAATAAACTCTTGTTTTCAACAAATCATCGATCGACAGAACTCAGACGGGAGTGGAAGTAAAATTTAGGGACTGTTTACTAAACACTTATTGCGTATTACTTACCTTACTGAGTGAGCATGATAAGAACCAATAATCTTACCTGATAAGAGGCACAGAAGGATCAAGAATCTCTCTTGGTGAGCGAGGGAAAGACTCTTACCCGGTAAGAGGCATAGAAAGACCTAGAATCTTTCCTGGTAAAAGAGAGAAAGACTCTTACCCGATAAGCACATATCGTGTAAATGACGCTTAGCCACAATCCATTTTGATGGTTAAGAATGTTAATCGATAAGATAAATAAGAGCATTGACTCTTGTCGATAAACACTTATTCATTAAACGTTTGATAAACGATCCCAAACTGGAAAAGAAATGAATTGTTGAAAGGGATGGTGACATGGTAGTAGGTTTGGCTCTAGGGGTGTAAATGATGCGAGTCGAGCTCGAGTATCATTATACTCGATAACCATTTCTCAAGCTTGAACTCGATTCGAAAACTCGCGAGTAGTTAAAAACTAAACTCGACTACAATTTTTTAAACTCAAACTCGAGCTCGAACTCGTTTAAAACTCGAACCAAGCTCGAACTCCTCCTCGAATCAAGCTCACCTGTCAAACTTTATGAAATTTTAGGGTCTTCTCTTATCTATACTATATTATAAATAATTTGACAAAAACTCTTAAAAACATTTTTTATGCATAAAGTACTGTTTATTGATGCATATTACTTAAAAATCAAGATTACAAGTTTGAATTCGTGTAACTAACTGCAGATAAACATAATCAAATACATGATAAACATCATTTTAAATATAAAAAATCTAAAATATAATTAAGATAATCATTGAATTCTAACAAAATACTTAATTATTATCTTTAAAAAAATTATTTTATTAAACCAAAAATAAATTAGTTCGCTATTAGACTTTAATTAAATTATAATAAAAATTAAATTAAATAAATTACACAAAAACGAGAAAGTTAATTTGATACTAATATCGTTTATTCTTTTCAAAATTGTGTAATATCTTCAAACTTATATTTCATTAAAAAATAATATTTTTTTTTATCAAAAACCATATAAAATCGCATTATAACATCGATATACCCAAAATATAAAACGGAACATTAAAATAAAGATGTATCTCGCTGCATTGTGCAAATACCCTTCTAGTAAATCATAAAACTTAAAAGGTGTTCTCTTAAATTTTAAAAAAACTAAAGTGATCCACCTCAAACTTTATCATCAAATAAACAAATTTGCAAACTTCATTCACCTCTCTCTCTCTCTTTATAACACATCTTCATTCTTCTTTTACTATCTCTCTTCCAATGTAGGACAACTTCACCAACACTTCTATAGTTTTTATTTGCCTTTTTTAATCATGATTTAAAAAAAAAATTACTGATTAGTTTTTATAGTTAAAAATGCACAATATTATTCGAGTATCTAAAAATATAAGACATTTTTATTACATTATATTATACATATTATATTATAAAAAACTGATTATTTTTTAAAACTAATTATAGATAAAAAAAAATTAGTATCTCACGAGCTTTCCGAGTCGAGTATTGGGTAGCTCGACTCGTTAATGTATCGAGTCAAGTTCGAGTTTGAGCCGAGCTATCCTAATCGAGTGTTGATCGAATCGATCTTAAGTAGCTCGCGAGTTATCTCGTGTCGTTTACACCTTATTTGGTTCTTTGGAGAAATGAAAGAGAACAATACGACTCCCTTCGTCTCATAATAACCATCCATTAATATATACTTCCTTAGACATGCATAATAATTATATTTTTTAATTAACCAAAAGACAAATTTACTCTTAGTTAATTTCTCTCTGTTCACAATTCTTAAATATTGGGACTCGTTTTAACGGGAAATCCCCGTCCGAGTTTGGGTCAGGTGAGCCAGGTTCCTCACCTGGTTGGGGGCAAATCACCATCCCTAGTTTAAATACCCACCACTTTTCAATCAGACCCCCAGAATAGGTAAATGGCAAAATAAACCCCTTCACTTCTAATAATTAAAACTCGGTTATCAAATTAATTAGGGGTAAATTTGAGAGTTTAGTTATCTATTTTTAAAACTAGACATTTATTTTAAGACAAATATAAATAGAAATGTTGACGTTTATTTTGAAACGAAGAGAGTAGTTGATAACTCTCATTTTTTTTTCGAAATACGACTTAAACGGTGCACAAATATTTGAGAAAGTCTTTGATAATCACGTAGAGATACAAGCTTTTTATGATTTGTTAAGGTACAAACTTTGGTCCATTTTCATATTACAAAGAGATTTGGGTATAAATATTCATACTAATCGAACTTAATATCTTTATCAACCTAGACAAATCGCCAAAATTAAGAATCGGTAATGGTGGGCACTTTGTAGGCACGGCCTATAAATATTCACTTTCGATAGATCGGGTTTTTTGTAATATTTATGTGATACACTTTCGATAGATCGGGTTTTTTGTAACATATATGTGATACACAAAGTATCTGACCATTTTGTTAATACACATGTCTTAAGGAAAACTTACACTCATATTCATTCTTTAGTTAAAAGTTTATTTCGTCTCTTGAGAATTTATACGAACAAAAATTTGATTTTTGTTCACAGCTGAAACTTGCTTAAGAAGTTCATGAAAGTCTCTGATTCTTAATAGTTCAATCATTGCGGAAACGATCTTGGTACTATACACACATCAACAACTTTGCGAGTCTTTGATCCACCTTAAATGTGCATCCACTCCACAAAAATCTTGGGTCTGCCACTATAACTGATATTATAATTTTCAAAATAGTGAAAATTATTGGAGTTGAATATTTTTTTTTTTAAATTTTGAATTATGATTATTTATTTTAAAGAATTGTTGGAGATACTTTAAAATAGGCAAAACTCTGAGTTCCTCTGAAATTTAAGATAAGAAAGAAGATAAATGATTTTTTATTATTTTTTGCATAATTGAATTTTATTTATTATAGTTTATATAAAAATTTAAAAAAATATATTAAAATTAAATATCTACTATATATAGAATATGTTGGAATTAAGTGAATTGTTTTTAGAGATTTTAATTTTAATTTTTATATTTTAAAAAATAATAAAAAATCTGTTAGAAATGTTTTAATAATATCTTAAAAAAAGAGCAACGTTAATTATATAAACTATCATTTTCATGAAGAAATCTCGCTAATCAAAGAACCCAATTTAGCATGAAATCAAAACTCTATACTCACCCAAAACTATTCAAGTAAAGAGTGGCACCTTGCCTATGGATTAATTGCATTACATTCTAAATTACATGATCCCAATTGAATGACCAACATAATAAAAACATGCATATTTCCAAATAAATATGTTATAACTACAGATAACTTCAAAAGCTCAACATAGCAAATTAAACCGGACAAATGTCCCCAAGACTCATCTGAGTCAAAATAGAGCCAAAATCTTAACAACTCAATTGACAATTAAATAAAAGTCATCATATGCAATAAAAACATATTTAACTAACGTTTATGCAAATGCTCTAAAGACATGATTAACTCAAAAACTCATCATTGGTTGAGACAAATCATTTTCCAATTGAAATCACACTATTTATATTTCCAAATGTCCCATAACATAAAATATGCATTTTCCAAACGAAATGCACAAAAAAGAAAATGCATTATCATCAAATAATCTCCATTTATACCACAAGTCATCAAAAGAACCCATACTTATGACTTATTTACCAAAATGTCCAGGCATTTTATACGACTTATAAAACCAAATATATCCAAGATGCAAATTTCGTCAAATAATCAATACAATTGATAGATATCAAGAAAACATATTTAAGACTCCAAAATGCATATTTTGGGCATGTACATGATTTTCACAAAGCAACTTGAACTCACATTGCTAGGTTATGTTAAACCTAGTTTTCAAATCCAAGCTCTAGCTTCCATTGATGAAGACTTTAGATCTCAAGCTAAACTTCCAGATCTATGGTGCAAAGCTTCTCAAGAACACCTCATTTACTCCCAAAACATACATACAGAAACCCAAGAGAATGGGGATTGAGGTGAAAAGAACCAAACCTTTTCAACTTCTAGGAACCAAAAATCAACAAGGAAACTTTAATCCTTCTAGTTCTCCACTTGAAAAGCTTCAAAAAATGAAACCATAGCCTCAAGAATCACTCAAATCAGATGCAAAACGAGTGAGATGTTGACCAAATGAAGAAATAGCCCAAAAATCAGGTTAAAACTTATCTATGTGCGCGACCACTTTTAGGGCGACTTAAGTCGCACCAAAAGGTTGCCCGGACCCTTTCCAGGTTGCCTGTCGGCTGCCTAGACGTTCCTGACTGTTCCTTGACCGTTTTCTCGGCTCTTCTCTCGGCTGTTCTCCCGACCGTTTTCCCGACCATTTCCTAGGCCGTTCATTGACCGTTTTAAGAAAAATTCGGATGTTACATCATATACGTAAACATGTATGCATGAATTTTTCTCAAGTTAACTTGTCTTGGAAGTTATTCAAGTATTTAAAATGTGATATGAAATGATATAATATAAAACATAATGATGTAAAAGACATGATATGAGGACATGCCATGCCACATGATAACTCTGTTCTATAATCAAAATATTTCATGGAAATTACTGATTTTGTTTAATGTGATAATTTATTTGTTCTAAAAATAAATGTTTTTATTTATATTTTAGTTTTTTTTTAAATAAACGTTCACTTTTAAAAGTAAATGTCTACTTTTATACCATTACACCATCTCCAACTAGAGATGACAATAGGACCGAAGAGTAATCGAGGACCCTAATCCCCGTCTTTACCTCCGTCCCCATCCCCGTCAGCGAATACTATTATATCTTCATCCCATCCCATCAAGAAATCGATTTTTTTCCCTAACTCTTTTACATAATATATATATATATGTATGTATGTATGTATGTATGTATGTATGTATGTATGTATGTATGTATGTATGTATGTATGTATGTATGTATGTATGTATGTATAAATGCAATTTCACACTTAAACGATATTTGAAATAAAAATGGTGAAATAGGGTATTTTTGTCAAATTATGAGTAAATTAAAAGGCTATCTTGGGCATCTTGATCTCTTTTCCCCTTCTCATCAAATCTCCGAATATAATCTCGATTATCTTCAACCTCCACGCTCGATCCCTTTTCCCCTTCTCATCAAATCTTTGACTGTAACCCGATGCCTCCTGCCACGACCTCCTTCTCCTCCTTGACGTCGCGCACGACAGCTCCATGTCCTTCGATATCGCGCACGACGACTCCATGATGAATATGTTTTTACAAAAATGATGATTATGTCATTTTATAATTAAAAATGACTTTCAATTATAGGATCAAAACCAAATTCGGGCTTAGATCAGTTCTCATGATTCTCAACCTTTTTGTGGTTCTCATTTGATTGTTGTCCTATGTATATGCATAAATTTGTTTTCTTAATAATCAGGGTTAGGGTTGAGAGTATCCCCATCCCGGTTTATAAATTTGAGGATTCCCCATCCCCAACCCCAGTCAACTCAGGGATTTTATCCGTTAAATATGGACTTCTCTTTGTCATACCTATCTCTAACCCATACTCTACAGAAACACTAAAATGTAGGCCCATTAACACTAAGGGTCATTTATCCGAGTAAACGTTTACTGGTAGAATTCAACACTATCATTTACCCAGGTAAGATTTTAGTTCACCAAAACAGTATTGTATGCAATAATTATTCCGGTAAGCGTTAACCGTGATAAGAGTCATCGTCCTCACTTACCAGGTAAGACTCTCGTCCTTACCTTCATTCTTACCAAGTAAGATTCTTGGTTCTTGCCACATTCATCTGGTACGATAATGTGACTTGGTAAACGCTTACTCGAATACGCATATGGTAAACAACCCCTAAAACCCATTTTTCATCCACCCAAATAGTTAGAATAAGGGGCTGTTTGTTTGCCTCTTAATGGTGACATTAAGAGGGAGCCTCTTAATCGGTAAGAGACAGGGGTTATTTGGCAAAAAAAATGAACCTCTTAATGGTGACAATTACCTCTTAACCATTTTGCATCTAAGGGGTTGCCTAATGGTTCAGAGCCTTATTTTTCCAGCATTACCCTTCCCCACATCTCCTTCCAGCATCATCGTTCCTCCTCCTCCTCCCACGCATCGTTCCTCCTCCCAAACGATCTCGCCAATCGTTCCATCTCGCAGAACTGCCTCCTTCCCTCTGCTTCTCCGACAATGGCATCGGCGACTAGGCCCGCCTCTGCTTCTCCGACGGTAACATCGACGACTCAGGTCATCGATGCTTCTTCCCTTGTCTCTCTCTCAACTCTGAAACCCCTTCATCTCCTTCTCTCACTCCGTAGAATCCCCATCAACCATAACATCTCCTTCCCGACACTCCTTAGATCCCATCAACGAAAGCCCCTGCGTCTCATCCAGGAAAAGCACAACCCAAATCCAAAAGTGAGTGAAACCCTAATTTCTTATATGAAATCTCATGTTTATGTGCATTATTTTTTTTTCCGAATTGATATGATGAGGTAATCGATTTRATCGTTGGTGGATTCAAGTTATTTGTGCAATTTGCAATACTTAACAKCAGGTGTGCTTCTTGTTCATTCCTTTTYKATCTTCTTTTAATATATGAGCTAATCATTTTGGTATCTGTTAGTTCAATACAAAAACACTARTAAGTAGTATTWAGGCTGAATCTAAAGACTGTTTCACAAGATTTATCAGCTGACAACTCTTGGGAGGTCAAGGAAGAAATTGGTGAGAACCATGTGGGATCAATGGATCATGATGTTCTTGATCACTGTGTTTTCCTTTTATGCTAAATCATTTTTTGCATTTACATTGAACCTGTTGTGTTTTTTTCTTCTTTCTACTTGTTTGAAAACAGATTATCATGTTCAAGATGGAATCGATTCACATATATAAATGGGCTTTGCAGATGTGCAGAAATTAAAGGATGTTAAGCAAGTAATCTCAAGGCTAGTCCTCTTATTGAATCAAAGCTCAAAACATTAAAGAAGCACTATGATGCAATGACATATATGAAAGATGCATTTGGTATAGAGTGGAGAGGTACATAGTGCACATTAATATGCTATGATGATGCTGTATGGGATGAGTGGGTGAAGGTAACCACATCAAACAGAAGAGTGTTGAGGGCTTGAGAAATAATTCATTTCCTTATTATGATGAGTTGTGCCTGATATTTGGAAAGAGCAGAGGCAATCAGAAGAGTGTTGAAGATGCATCAGATGCTAACAGAGCCCTGGACGTGTATGAGACTAGTGAAAAAAACCATTATATTGGAATTTGATTGTTATGTTTTTGTTTATTCTAGAATTTGAACAAGTAATGTTATGTTGGTTTGAATTAATATGAAATCTTGTTTTGAACAAGYAATGTTGTGTTTGTTTGGATTAATATGAAATATGTAGTTACATTTTCAAAGTAACTGTTTTATTCAGATATCTGCCAAACAGTTCTATTTCATTCAGTACTAAATTATACATAGGGTTAAAATGGTAATTTGTTGTCATTCAGAGAACATTTACCAAACAACCATATTTCATTCAGCACTTAACCATTCTGACCACTTAACCATTTTGCACAAAAACCATTCAGCAACTGCCAAACAGCCCCTAAAACACAAAAAACCCTCCCTCACAGGTCAAATCCCGGCCATGAATAATGCTCGCAATATTTGGCGGTCTCCTTCACAAAATACAAAAATTTTGGCCGGTTGAAGCAAAATGACCGGCAAACCCTTTTATATTGGCCCTTATACCGACCCATTGGGGACACCTTTACTCCCTTAATACCTTTATAGTTAAGTGCAATTATTTAGTTGATTGAAAAATAGAATAGAGTAAACTGCCTTTTTTTGTTCTTGTGATATGAATTATTAAATTATAAATAATTTATTTTAGAATCGAAAAACTATAATATTGGTTTAATATATAAACTTAATAATACTAAGGTTCTGTTTGTTATCAGTTTAATTAACTTAATAAGATTCGTAACTTATTCAATCAGTTATAGATGACTGTTTAATGGTATTTCAATATAAAAAGTGGTTTATTCAGTAAGTTTATAGAAAAGAGTTTCTGTAGAAAACCAATTTTTTTTTTCCAAACTGTTCATCCAAATTAAAAAACAGATTTCTTCCATTTATGAAAAAACTCTCTAAAAAAATTCGTTAATCTTTATAGAGATTGTTGTTTGTTTACCTCTTAATAATTTCATTAAAAGACATCATCTGAATCGTTAAGAGGTGAATCTTGTTTGGTCAAAAAAAGTTCGTCTCTTAATGGTTATAAAACATTTTGAATGATTTTGTATCGTGGGCCTCTCTTAATCATTCAACGTTCTAATTTCATTGTAAACAATTACCAAACAATTAGGGACTGTTTGGCAGTTGCTGAATGATCTGGTACATAATAATTAAGTGGTCAGAATGATTAAGAAACTCTCATGATATAGTGCAAAATGAAATATAATAGTTTGGTAATTGTTTACAATGAAATTAGAGCGTTGAATGGTCAAGGAAGATCTAAGATACAAAATCATCCAGAGAATTTTAAAACCATTAAGAGACAGACTTGTTTTTGCCAAACAAGATCACATTTTAACGATTCAGATGATGTCTTTTAGTGGAACTATGAAGAGTTAAACAAACATCCCCTTATATTTCACTTTGTAAAGAACCTCTTAATCATTCTGATTATTTAACCATTCTTAACTAAACCATTGAACAACTGTCAAATAAGATCTTAATTCATACAAACAACTTTAGAAACCAACCAAAACAACCCCATCAAAAATATAAACAGTTTTGACTGCGCGTCATTATACGAGACGTAATCCCTCATAATCTCAGGTCTCAACTCACTTTCAAGATTGAGATCTGTAGACGAATTCACCAAAACCACCCCAATTTCTTCACTTTCACGAGTGACGACCATGGTCAACTATCTGCGTGTCTGTGTGTGAAAATCGCAACAAACCCTTTTTGTGTATATGAATTATTTATTGATTTACAGAGATGTTGCAACAGCTGCTGTTTTGTAAAAGAGTTTCAAGAAATGAAAATGCGGTAACAGCTTTGACAACAAAACCAAACCAACCTTAGATGCTTCCTTCTCCTCTTCTTCTTCCTCCTTTTCCCTGTTTCTTTAAGCAATTTTCCTCTATTTATCAATTCATCCTTCCATTTCTAAACCTAATTTGCAAGATTCATCCAATCGCAACAACTACTTCCTCTAATGACATTTCACCCATCTCTTTTCCCCATTTAAGTAAACAATACCCTGTGGGCTTTCTCTCATTGCCCAGAAAACAACTCCCTGTCTTCCTCGATTTGAAGGGTTATTGAAGATACCCACCATTAAAGAGATGAGGAATTCCAGTTGGGGTTTTCTTTTGATGTTTCTTTCTGCTTTCTTGTTGGATCTTGATGCTTTTGAGCTTCGTAAAGGTCAAAAAACCGAGAGGATTTCAGGTAATTTCTACTTTTGTTAACATCTTAATTGCTTGATTTTGGTAATTGGGGTCAGATTTGGGTTCTCTTTGAACTTCTTATGGGTTCTTGATCTGCCCAGATTTTGTCCCATGAAGTAATTAGGTTTCTGCTTTGATGTGAGTTTATATGTGTTGAATTTTGAGATCTGTAATCCATTCTTTATGTTGTGAAGTAGGGTAGGAATGATATAGAGGCATAGTTAGAAATGCTTTCTGTAAGGTTTTATTGGTCTGCGACAATCAAATAGGATACATTCAAGTCTTGGATGAACATTATATCAAGATATAGTTGTTGAACACAGATTCTTATGTGAATCAATTTGTTTCAAGATAAGTCATTTCTCCCCTAACCTCTGTTGTGATCAAGAATCATCGAAAGAGTTGTATGACAACAATTTGTGACAATGATGTGTGAGGATGCTTGCTCTTGTTTAGTAGTTTGGTAGTACCCATGACTAGGGTTAATCATGTTTTTTTGATGCTTGATGCCACTTTGTTATGTGCAAGGTTTCGGTTTTATACTTGTTTGATATGAATTCACATGTGAATCAACCGAGATTATCAGTCTCTTAACTCTTTAATGATCGATATTCACATAACCAGCTATACACAACAATGGTGTGTGAGGATGTTTACTCCTGTTTAGTAGTTTGGTACTACCCATGATTAGTGGTTAATCATGTTTTTTGATGCTTACCACTTTGTTATGTGCAAGGTTTCGGTTTTATACTTGTTTGATATGAATTCATATGTGAATCAACCAAGATTATCCCTCTCTTAAGTCTTCAATGATCAATATTCACATAAACAGTTATACACAACAATCTAATGCATAGTTTGGTGCTAAAACTAGTTGAATTTGTGCAATTTAGGTAGTGCTGGGGATGTACTAGAAGATGATCCGGTTGGAAGGTTGAAGGTATTTGTTTATGAGCTGCCGAGCAAATACAACAAGAAAATTTTGCAGAAAGACCCACGATGTCTCAACCACATGTTTGCTGCTGAAATTTATATGCACAGGTTCCTCTTATCGAGTCCTGTACGAACTCTAAATCCGGAGGAGGCGGATTGGTTTTACACCCCGGTTTACACCACTTGTGACCTAACACCAAATGGGCTCCCTTTACCGTTCAAATCACCACGTATGATGAGAAGCGCGATTCAACTCATCTCTTCCAATTGGCCTTATTGGAATAGGACTGAAGGGGCTGATCATTTCTTCATTGTACCACATGATTTTGGTGCTTGTTTTCATTATCAAGTACGAATCTTTAACTTTCTTGATATAGTCTTGAGGCATTTTTGTGTTTCTTAAATTACGGTTTTATTGTAGGAAGAAAAAGCTATTGAAAGAGGGATTCTTCCTCTTCTCCAACGCGCTACTTTAGTTCAAACATTTGGGCAAAGAAATCATGTTTGCTTAAAGGATGGGTCGATCACGGTGCCTCCATACGCCCCTCCCCAAAAGATGCAATCTCACTTGATTCCGCCAAGTATTCCTCGATCCATCTTTGTCTACTTCAGAGGCTTGTTTTATGATGTAGGAAATGATCCCGAAGGTGGTTATTATGCAAGGTATGTGTCTAATGTATTCTTAAAACCAGTTGTATGCTACGGAACATGATTATTTTGAGAACCTGGGAACAAACTATTTCATGCATTATTCATGATGAATAACCCTAAATATTCAATAATATTATTCATTATGAATATCATACGTTTTCATCATGAATATTATGTATTTATCATCATAAATATCATGCATTTCCATTATATGAGGTCTTGTGTTCTTTGGTTAGTTCTTTGTTTTTTGTATGTGAGGTCTTGTGTTCGAGTCTTTTATCCCAAATTTTTTAATAAACATAATAAATCTGATATTAGAAACCAAAAACTAAGAAAATGATACAAACGGGATTCGAACCTGCTCCTAGAAGGGGAGAAAAGACCGTGCAAACCAACTCTATGAAGAGAAACTTGTGTCATTATTGTAGTTTCAAGGAATATATATTTGCACCAAAATAATACGGTGGCACCTTTCACGACCTTAAATCTTTTTACACTACGACGGAGGAACAAAGCTGTTGCCCGTGCCACCATATGCACCATAGTGGGTCCGCCCCTGCTTGCCAATTTTTGGTGTCTTTGCTCTCGATGCATTATGGAAGAAAAAAAACCCATCTTTTTTGATCTTGCAGAGGAGCAAGAGCAGCAGTGTGGGAAAACTTCAAAGACAACCCTCTCTTTGACATCTCAACCGAACATCCAACAACGTACTACGAAGATATGCAGAGAGCCGTGTTCTGCTTATGCCCGCTCGGGTGGGCCCCATGGAGTCCAAGATTGGTTGAAGCCGTGATATTCGGTTGCATCCCAGTTATCATAGCAGATGACATCGTGCTGCCTTTTGCTGACGCGATTCCATGGGAAGACATCGGAGTGTATGTAGATGAAAAAGATGTTCCGAATTTGGACACCATCCTGACATCCATTCCAACGGAAGTCATATTGCGAAAACAGAGATTGCTCGCCAATCCATCAATGAAGCAGGCTATGTTATTCCCACATCCCGCTCAACCAGGTGACGCTTTCCATCAAATCTTGAACGGTCTTGCCCGTAAACTGCCTCATGATAAGAGTGTTTATTTGAGGAAAGGAGAGAAGGTCTTAAACTGGACCGCGGGTCCTCTAGCTGATCTGAAGCCTTGGTAGGGTTCTAAAATGGTTTCCGATTTTGGGGGGATTTTTTGTTGGTTTATAGATGTTGAAGGGAATTGATGGTTATTTGAATCTTTATGGACTTTGCACCCTTGTTCTTATATCTTGATTGGCATAATATTTAGCATGAATCAAAGATTAAACAGCAAGCGTGCAGATTTCTGTGTTGCTGTTGATGTATGAATCAACAGGTTCTTATGATTATGGGTATTGAAAGGATGATCATCTTAGCAGGCAGATGAATTGAGTTTGATGTTCAGGGAAGAGATTGGAGGTGAATTTGCAGAAAAAAGATACCAGATTTGCATAAATTGTACCATAAACTTTTAAAGCAAACTGCTTGCAGATCCCTTGGGTACTAAGATTGTTTTTGAGGGATTTGGAATGGAATTGAATGGATTTAAAATCATTGGTGTGTTTGATTTGTCAGATTTGGATTCCGGTGTTTAAATAAATTAATTTACATTTTTATTAATTGATTATTACAAAATAAATGTTTTTAACTTTTTTTAAAACATTATTTCATACAATCTTAAGGATTTCAAGATTCTATGTTTGTAGGATTTCAATTAAATCCTAGAATTTCAAATCCAGACGGTCCAACAAGCCAAACATGGGATTGGAAATTCAATTCCTTCAAACCAAACGAAGCTGAATCATTGGATACTGTTGATGGTATGCTTATTTTGATTTGTCTTCGCTGATTTGTTGCACCTTTCTTTAGAACGATATTAGGGTTCTCCTTGCACACCTAATAAATTCCAGTCGAAAGTAGGATATGGTGAATATGAGATGTACGCAAGTTTGACCTCTACTGTAGAGAGTAGATCGACAGTTTCTATAAAGACTCCCATCTTGTACAAGAGTGTGAGCAAACATGTAAAATGAGATGGTGCTGCCATGCTAGCTTTATTACATTAAATAGGAATTAAACCAGACTTCATTACATTTTAATGCATTTTATCTGTCCTTAAATGATCGGAAATTGAAATAATTAAACTGTTTTGAGAAATTTTGAGTCAAATTGAATATTTATTTAAGAATCAGTTGTTTCAAAATTCAATTGAATTACGTGTTAAAACTAATAATGGATGTTGATATTTTAACTTAAAAAATTAATTATTCTGATTATAATTTGTTAGGTCTGAGCTTAGTTGGTCGTCTAATTTTAGGTATTATTTGATTGTTTTTTAATTAATATCTTGTTACGATAATTCTCACACTACAACAAAATTGGGTTTATAGGACATCCTCAATCTTTAAACGTTTTAATAGACTGTTTTATAGGACTTAATTTATAGGACCAAAATATAAAGCGTCCTATTTAAAGGTGTTGTAATAAGTTTATATGACGTTTTTGGGCGTCTTAACAAGTTTTTTAGAATATTTTTAATACAAAGTGTCACATTAGCAACTTTATAGGACACTTTTGAGAAAGTGTCCTATAAACTCAATTTTTTATAGGACATTTGTTTTTATAGGACAATTTTTCAAATAATGTTCTATAAAGTTAATAATGAGACGTTTTATATTAAAAGTGTCCTAAAAACTTATTACGACGTCAAAAAATGTCATATAAACTTATTACAACATCTTTAGATATGACATTTTTTTTGGTCCTATAGACTAAGTCCTATAAAAAGATCTATTAGAACACTTAAAAATTTGGAAATGTCCTATAAACCCGATTTTGTTGTAATGTCATTTTACATTATTTTATTATTTTATAAAATTCGTCTGAGGCGTTATTTTTAAAGTTGCCTTCTAAAATGTTAATTATCCAAAGTTTTATTTTACTTGTTAATTTGAAACACTTAAAATAATTAAAATAAATTTGCTAAAATCATTAAAGTTATATAAATATTAGAATGAAAAAATAGGTTAACTAAAATAAATTTGCACACTAATACCCTTCGTAAAATAACGAAAAAACATAGTGTGATACACTTAATAAAGCAACATTATCTGATACATTGTGTTACACTTCGTAAAATAACAAAAATACATTGTGATACACTTCGTATAACAACAAAACACATTGTGATATACATTATGATACCACTATGATATTAGATCTACTTGACGAATACAACTGTGACACCATTGTATTACACCCAACGTTACATCTCCGACGATATCTAGGTTACATCCCAAAACCTTACATCTCCAATGATATATGGGTTACATCTTCGTCTATATCAGCGTTACATCTCCGACAAGATATGGTTATGTCTCTGATCTAAAACGAGATTTGTGCAAAAACCAGAAACTGAAACCGATTTGGGTGTGCAAAAACCAGATATGTACGGATATGCATAACCGAAACCGATTTGGGTTGTTTTTCTCGATTGGAAGAAGCCATCGAACTATTTGAGATGCAACGAGTTTATTGCAGAAGCCAGATTTATGTGGCTCTCCATTCAACATCGTCGTGGTTGAGATAGAGATGGTTGAGATAAGCGGAGAATGGTTGAGATCGGCGGCAAGAATGGTTGGGATCAGGGTACGATAATGGTTGAGATTGGCGGCAAGAATGGTTGAGATCGGTGGAACATGTGGAGCTTTTGGAAGTGAGTACTAAGGGAGGATGGAGAAACGACCGGCCAAATTTATTTGGAGTTTCAAATTCCAAAAAGATTTAACATTTAGGGTTTTCTAAGCTGTAAAATTTACTAATTTACCCTTTATTTTATTTTAGTAAATAACATTAGTTATCTAAAATGATTGGCTCATATTAGACCTCACAGTTACCACAAACCATATAGTTCTCATTTGATTAGGCCCCTATATATACATGCATTTGTATGGTTTGCAACATTCGGATGATTTGCAAATGATTACCTCTATGCGAAGGATCATGTGAGGAGAATTAAGGTAAGAAGCATAAGAAGGGATCTGGACCCTAATCACCTTTAATCTCAAACCCACCTATGAATCACGCTTGACACGGGGATTGGTCCGGTGCATCTCGATGCATCACATCCTAATGTGTATCAAAGAATGAAGATTATTTCTTATGCTTCCCAACTTAACTCCCATTTTCACCGAAATCCAACCCTACCCCCCCCCCCCCCCCCCCCCCCCCCCCCCCCCCYCCTCTCTCTCTCTCTCTCTCTATATATATATATATATAGAGAGAGAGAGAGAGAGAGAGAGAGAGACGCACACTTGTATATGTTAGTGTTTTGAATAATATTAAAACGAAAAAAGTAAGAATAATCATTGATACCAAAAATACAGTCTATAAAAATGATATAAATGATACAAAATAGGGATTAAATCTCTTGAATCTCAACTCACTATTTCAATTTTCAAAGAATTCATGTTCGACTCTTCGTATATGAGAATGAAAGTAAGTATTTACCTATTTAGGTTTTTACTTGTTAAATTTTCTTTTTCTTTTGTTTATTTAAGTCCTAAATCTCATACATAATTATCATTTATTTCTCAAATTATATATTAAAAAACCCCGCGTCTTACAAAATAACGTGCCATAACGTGTTAAAATGAAGTCAAGCCTTATAATGAGCCACAAAGGGTTAACGTGGCGGCGAACCCAAACATTAACACCATAACACGCCATAATAAGGTTATAACGAGTTATTTATAACTATGATATTACTACAAATTTAGTTACAAATAGATAGAAGATGGTCTTCACAAATTCCCTCACCTGGATTTATGCATCTCTAGACTTTAAACATCTAAAACCGGAAAAGTGGACATTCCTACCATTTAACCTCTAATATGAAAGGAACGTGCACGTCTCGGTTTAATTGGTTAAATCAATCGACCTCTAGCTACATTTTTAAACTTGCACAAGTGGGCTCACAATCGAATTTTTGTGAGCCCGTGAGATGGAACTCGACCTAGCACAAGCCAAGACGAATCGAGTCCTATGCCTCAAGCTTTCGACTGTTGGGGAATCTGAGAGACTTGGATAATTTCCTTGATTGTGCCTTTCCAAATAATATATTTCCCTCTTATAAAATGCCTTATGTTAACACGAAATTAGTATTGGAATAATCCAGAAAATCCGTACCGGTTTTAAGGCACAAAACGTGTGTATATATACACATTAGATCAACTGTTTATGTATTCATAAGAGAGATCGACGAGTATGGATGATTTGACGGTTAATATGTAAATGCAAAACAGTTACAACTGCTAAAGGATAAGATTGAGTAGATATAATTGAGTTAGAAGCACCACAGCAATAAGTGAAGCCACAATCAAAAGGTCAAGAGGCTCTTTGGCAGACTTGAAAAAACTAAATAAGACTCAGAGTGCTAGGCTGAAGCCTGAAGGCTTAGAGGCTCTGTGTCCTCTTGCTTATGATCCATACTTTTACAAATCCCACCAAGTTTCTAAACTATTTTAAGAAGGTTTCTAACATTCAAAATCACGTTCAAATCATCTCAAAACATATAATTTCTAAGTGAAACCTCTTCATAAAATTCGTAGAGATTTTGAGGCGCTACCCTAAACCCCGTGAGGGCGGCCCCCCTCACCCTGCCCACTAGACCATCGCCAAGGGGGCGTGCCCCCTTTGATCCCCCATCTTATGGCGATCTAAGGTGATACAATATTAGTGATTGTACACTTTTCACCTCCTAACTCACATTTTGTTAGCCTTGTTACCTTAATTGATATCAACTAAATCACAATTACACTCAAAAAAATTTGATTCGACTAAAATCACCGGCATCAACGAGCTAAACTCTGGCCTTTCAAGCAGACTCAAAGCCCAGGCTCGATGAAGACACCCAAATTGGCCATGAGCCCCATCTTTTTCCTCAAAAAGAGATTCAAGAAATCTTTAGAAAATAAAGAAAAATCCAAAAGCAAAAAGCTTGGTTTGCGTTCATTTGTGTGGGGAGTATGGCATCCACGCTTCCCCCTACCAAACGTCTATACAACCAATACCAAGATTACATGCATCTATCTCTTCAGTTATCTTCTTCCATCCATCCAACCAACCAGAAACCATGGCTCTCCAGGCACCACTCACCCTACCCACCACCAAATCTACTTCTCTGTCTCCGGCAGGTGGCACTAATGTCGGCCTCCGCCGGCCGGCCAACCTCTTAGCTCTCAAATCATCATTCTATCTCTCACCCTCCCTTCAATTATTGCTTCCACGTTATCAGCCATCCTCCAATGTTGCTCCCAAGTTCGCTATGCGAACTGCCTCTAAGCAGGCTTATATTTGTCGTGACTGCGGGTAATTTTGTGGATTGTTGTATAATCTGTATTCTGTGATCATAATTTCTAGTGAATTTTATGTGTGTGTGTGTGTGTGACTGTTTCTGTTTGGATGAGGGTGCAGGTACATCTACAGTGATAAAACCCCATTTGAGAAGCTACCTGATAAGTACTTCTGTCCAGGTATGAATCTCTAATTCTTTTTTGTCTTTTTTCGACTGATGATATTGCAAGAATTGCATTCTGGTTATATACCCATTTGACCATTTGGATTGATTCTGCATATCAAAGCATATAAATCTATGGTTAGTCAAGACTAATGTGACATTGCTAACAAAGAACTATTATGGTCGTAAAAAAACCCCATATGTGATTGAAAAAACCACAGGGAAATTGTGAACTACCGCTAATCCAGATACCACTGGGACAATGACCCTTTGGTACAAATGGGTAGTTTGGATGACATCTAGTTTGCACATATGGTGTTGCATGATTTCATCAAAAGTAGCTTATCATATGAAAGCAAGCCATTCAAATGACCATAAAATGTTTACCTTGCACGATGTCGTATAGACCATGGGTTCAAATTCCATTTTTCCCCTTCTTTTTGTGTATAAGGAATGGAAAAGTTTGAATCTTTGCAGTTTGTGGTGCCCCGAAGAGAAGGTTCAGGGAATACACACCTCCTGTGACCAAAAATGCTAACTCAACAGATGTTAGAAAGGCCAGGAAAGCTGAACTCCAGAGAGATGAAGCCGTTGGGTAAATCCCACACATAAGCACACACATAGAGTTAATTAAAGAACAGACACTTAACAACGGTTTTTGACCCTTTTTCAGGAAAGCATTACCTATTGCAGTTGCGGTTGGAGTTGTTGCACTCGTTGCCTTGTACTTCTACCTCAACAACACCTTCTAGTAGTTTCGCCTGAAACAGGTGCGTCGCCGGAGAAATTGTTGTAATCTGATTACAGTTTTGTAGATTCTGATTGCCTCCAAGAACTGCTATTGATCTCATTTGATTTTGTACAATCCGGTTATTATCCCAGAAATATATGATTAAGTTTTTACCCAATCTAAGGGAGTTTAGAGTAATATAAAGAGGGCACCAGATAAAATCAAGATGCGATCTCAGCATATCCCACTGTGAGGTGGGGTGTAGACCGTAAGTTGTACGCATATCAGACCTCTACCCAAATATATCTCTAGAGACCCGTGTTTCCAGAAAATGTAATCATATCAAAATCAGATACAAACCAATATCTAGTTTATAACAAAAAATGAGATTGTTCTATGTGTTACAATGATTTTTACACCAGAATCAAAGAACTTGTCAATGCTCAACAAGTTTCTTCTTTTTGAATGAGGGAATTATCTTCGTCTAAAAATTTAGCAGATCACAGAAGTAGGATCACCGAATCCAAATTTGTTCTTCCATTATGATCTCTTTGAGTCAAGGAAGATGAAAATGGTATATATATACTTCCAGGAGACTGCTATCAGAAATGTATTTCACGCCTTTCAGCAAAGAATTTGCCAGAAACACGCATATCTGGAAGCAAGGATAGCCACACTGCTGTATCGGCTCCTTCTTCGGGTGTAACCTGGCCTGCCCATCCAGTCATGGCGGTCTTCACCCAACCAGGGCAGTAGCAGTTGATGTAAATCTTTTCACCTTCAGGTCGGTCTGCGAGGTCCCTGGCTACCAGCCTTGTATATGCATTGACTGCCAGTTTTGATAGGGAATAGTCTGTATTGTTTTGAGGCCACCCTCCAGAGGTCCAAGTCCCATCTTTCACTTGTTCCAAAAACTTATTCACTGTTGCATCAATTAGCTCCTCCGATAGTGAGTCCACATCTTCCAGTTGATGTCTCACTTCGTCATCAGAAATCCTCTAATATCAAATTTTATCAATTATAAATGAAATGCAAATGCAATGAGTTGTTAAGAAAAGCAATTTCAAGATTAAATAAGCCAGAATAGCAAGTAAGAGCTGCTTCCAGGGAGGGGGTTTATCACATGACTTGCACATCCTGGTCAAGATTTAGGGTACCATCTGAGTGACAATTATCCATCATATATGCATATGCATGTGAGCAGACTATATTGACAGAAAATTTACCCTACACCAAATCTGGAGTGGTTATCTGAACTTACAAATGCTAGTGCATGAGATTAATAATTATGTCTTTTACCTTTTAAGGCATGTTTCTTGGTGGAGAGAGGGAAGAGATCACCGGTGCGTGCGTCCAACACGAACTAGGTCATGTTTTTTCTTTGGGTAATATTGGGTTTCCGGGCCAACTTATGTGCACCGACTAATCCCCTGGCACCCACGAATGGCCTGGAGTCATTGTAGGTGAACTTCCGTGGCCACAAGGGCCCTGGATTCAAACCCAGGGAAGATGTGATTGCCACTACATCCCCCTGAGCCTTAACCAGTACACCACAATCCAAGTGGTCTGAACTAGGTCATGTTAGAGATCTGGGGTTGTGGTTACTATCACTCGGATAAAATCCTGGATCATGTATCAAGAGCACTTTCCAAATACAATATGTCGACCTTTATAGCCTTAGGTTGCACGAAATCTGTATTGGGATAATCCAAGATCTAACTCTCGTTTTTAAGGCAGAAAACTCGAGTATTCAACGTGAAATTGTTATATGTTAAGTTTGCATATATATCGAGCTAGAGATTACCTTTTATAGATAGTTATATGAGCGGCTACAGGTAGTTATAAAAACGGTTAAAAATGTCGATATCATCAGCAGCAGATAGTAATCAGTGGATGCTGCATGCTCAGCAGATGAAGCAGCCACTGATGCCCATCAGGTGATACTGCCACTGATGCAGATTTGTGAAAGACTTAGAGACAGTAATTCATCTATCTCGAGTCAATCTCGATTAGACTAAATTGCTTGATGACACTAAAATCACCAACGGGTGATCATATGGAGTTCCGATTGCAGGGTTGGTTTAGGAAGGACCTAGTTTGAAGACAAACCATTGCCATCCTAGAAGGACTAGCTTGATGGCAAGCTATTGCCGTTTCTAGAGTGAGACATTGCCTGTGTGGCACTTGGGGTCATCCATAAAGTCTGGTTAGGAAGCATATGGTCTCAAATGGTCATGGAGGTAACTTAGTTACTTGCTAATTGTGTCATCCAGGAAAAAACCTATTAATGGAAGAGGGAGGGTGAAACCTAAAACTAATCACTTGGAGGGAGGTTGATTGTGGAGGTGGTGGCAGCTCCTGAGAGTGCAGAGAATGTCAAATTTGAATTTTCACATGTAAGCTAAGACTAGGATGACCATGATCAATTTCATGCCAATTCTTGCACCAACTATATGCCAACCATCAAGATGTTCAATCAGAACTACAAATCCTTAGGCTTCAGTGGTTACCAATAAGATGTGCATCCGAGCACTAGGACCAGAAAATCTCCAACATTCATACCATGAGTTCAGTTTCACTTCATTAGGGGTTCATGTGTGTGCTTGCACAGGCAGATAAGCCCTAGGAATTTGTCCTCCATCACCACATTTTTTCCTGAAGGGTCAATATCTAAAATGGCTGCCTGCAGTTGCATAATTACAAGGTGTGAGGTCATCCATAAGTTTGAATGTAGCCCTATGAGATTGTTGAGTGTAAAAACAAAGATCTCATGGAAACCAAGATTTCTCTTGGCATGCCTAAACAAAGTACTTATTCTATTGCCTGTTTGACACTTGAAAAACTCATTCCAAGATAATAATCACACATCTTAATCAGTTTGAAGCAAAAAGAGAAAATAGAATTATTGATGATAAAGGTAAATAAGCCCCGAGTTGAGAAAGACCAAAGATCATACATACATTTTTCCTGCCATTAAGTCTTCCCAGTCGTGAGCTCACTGTAACAATGCGAGCACCTGCAGCGTTAGGTCTCATCAATGGTATTGTGGCTTTGATCATATTTTTGGTACCAACATAGTTGGTAGAGATGACTTTTTCAGCAAATTCAACAGAATTCTCTGACCCAATATTATGATTGAATCCTGCATTGTTTATCTGCACAAGTTTGCATTGATAAGTACATGTCATGTAGAGCCCCCTGCCCATAATAGAATTTAAAGGCACCCAATAAGCAGATAAAGGCATGTAGCACTTTTTCTTTTATCAAGCAATACTACTTGATAGATAATCTGTTTTGGCCCGAAATGATACACATACTTCCATTTATGCTTCTATCAGGAGGGACTACTTTTAGAGAAGTCTAGTAACAATGTGCAAGAGCAAACAATCTTTATAGGAAACACCCATCACATCCCCTTCATCACAAAATAGTGTGCCCTTGTTCTAATTGCCATGTCATAAGATAAGGGTCTTTTCAAAATCACTGTATATGTACCTTTATTTTTGCAAGTATGTGGTTGGTTTGAATCAAATGCACTAGCACGATTCAAAGGAGCTTATGTGCAGTGGCAAAGACTTCTATGGTAACTCTATGTTGACTGAACTAGCTCCTCTTAATATGATAAGGAGCTCAAAGAGGAATCTTTTGAAGATAAATTAAGTTGCACTACAAGAAATGCAAGAAGAATTTGAACTCATTTTTGTAAGCTTAAGAATTTCCAGTCTAGCAAACAAAAGAGTTGTGGACAGTGCTGCTATATATATTACCAGAATATCTATACCACCATAGTTTTCTTTTATCCAGGCACAAAATGAATCGATAGATTCTTGATCTAAAACATCGAGTTGATGGAAGACCACATTCAAGCCTCCTTCTTGTAGGACTTTTGCTGCTTCTTCGCCCACAGCAGTCTCTCTTGAAGTAAGAACAACTGTCAACCCATGTAATCCAAGCTGGTGTGCAATCTCAAACCCAATTCCTCTATTTGCACCAGTCACCACAGCTATAGTTTCCGCAGACCACCATCTAAAGGTTTACACAGTAAAAGAAGAAACATTACACTCCAGACTAAGTAGAGAAATTTATGACACAACTGAATGGGCAAGTTTCGTTTACCGCCTTTCCTACCTTTATTCATTTTAACGCATGAATTCATCATGTAAAGAGAGAATCAAGAATTCAAATTATATGGAAATGCCTTAAAAATGAAAGAAAAGAAACAAAAGATTAATATTCCAAGTTATTAATTTTTGATGGAATATCCCAAATGAGTTGGAAAGATGATATTCACTTCCCATGGTCATATATAGGAGAGTCACCTCTTAGTAATTCCTACAGGATTCTATTTTGAGTTTACCGTAATTAGTTTGGAATAAATTGCTTTTTGATGTTCATGTTGACATTGGAGAGAAACAAACTTTTTTCTGGCACATCCTTGATGTCTCAGCAGCTCTCCAGACAGGATGCGACCGCACAGGACATCAAAACCCAGAAGACATCAAGCTTTCATCTATTACTAGTTTTGGGTTTAATAATTGGACAAAACGGCTTTAACTATGTCCCCATCCCCCTTTTATATTTTTTTTATTGTAATTAATAAAAATTGACATGGGGATGAGTCGCCTATCTTGACTAGGTTCCAAACTCGTTAAAAAATAGTACTTTTCGTTGTTTCAATGGCTTAGAAAGATAGGCATATGAGTACTTTTTTTAGCATTTTCGTACAGGGGATTTAAAACCTTATGACCGTCCACCCCAGGCTTGAAAAGGGGAAGCTCGCAGCTTTGCTCGGCAGAAGAGCTTGACTTTCTACGATGTGTTATGTATCCTTGAAGCTGTTGCAAACTCCAAGGCCTGTTTTTTCGTGCGCATTGGTTTGATTCTAGAAAAATTCTAGTTCTATGCCAAGCTATTGCAAATTCAAGCCAAGGATTCAGTTCCTATGTCCTTAATTGCATTTTCCTACACATTCCAACAAAATTTGAATTGCAATTTAATCTGTTCCTACAAGAATGTACATTGGTCAATACAAACCTATTAATTTCAAAATGGTTACAAATACAACCAATATATTTCGATTATCAGATATATCGTTAAAAATTCTGAAGGATTCATTCTCAATCTCGAATTCAAACATTAATCCTCTTCATGATCATCGTTATTATACCATTTCTTACAATTACAGTACCCGTTGGAAAAATTAACACATAGTAACAACTAACGAGTATCAAGAATTAAGACATGCATACCTCTGATGATCTGAGTATGGAATCGAACGGATGAGAGAGATCTCTTGACGACGTTTCTCTCTACGCTCCTTGGCCCTCTCCCTTCTATCCTGCTTCTCTGTACTATCCATTGCATCGATCAGATCAAATGAAATCAAATTTCGATTACGAATTTGCCTTTAATCCCCAATTGTTGAGAGAGAGAGAGGGAATGGGGATAATTTGAGGAGGAGAGAGAGGCAAGGTATCCATGCAACCACCAACTTCCTCGGGTGATTATGGTCGTTGATCTCTTACTCTCTACATGTTTACATTTAGCCCCCTAACTATATGTAATGTTATCTTTTAACCCTTGTACTTTACTTCACTCAAAATATTACCAACTTTCATTTACATTTTAATTTGGTCACCAAATTCTAGTTTTCCCATTTTTGGTAAACTAGGGGTTTCCAGGCCAGCTTGAGCTCACAGACTAATTTCCGAGCAATCACGAATGACTTGGAGTCAGTACAGGTGAACCTTCATGACCGTAAGAATTTTGACAATGTTTGGGTTCAAATCCGAGACAGATGGGATTTTCCGCTACATCCCCTGAGGTTTAACCAGTTCGTTAAATTTTAGTTTGGTTGTTATTCTTTGTAATTAACATTAAATAAAACGTATATCAGTTTTTCAACTTTTTTGAAATTACCCGGTATATTACCAAACTGAACAAAGTTCGATTTCAGGTTATTCAGTTTTTGTGTTATTATATTCAGTAATTGAATTAACTGAGTAAGAGTTTATATTTTTTAGGACATTTGCCTACCACAATTTTTCCAAATGCTAGGCCCGTTACTTCAAATTAGTGATGCCCAAACCGGCTTGGCCCGGCCCAAGACCGCCGGAGGACCGCGAGCGGAATCGGCCAAGGACCGGTCGGCCGGGACCGGTTATAGGACCGAAATCTGGGACCGGTTATGGATTTGAGGAATTTCACGGGACGGGGACCAGTTATGGCCCGGCCCCGCCCGATTTTTCAAAAATGTAGCTGTTTTTTTTCCTTCAAAAAACGAGCCTTTTATCACTGTCTTTTGGCCCTTTTTTCGTATTTTTTGCCTTCTAAAAACTATATATAAGTGTCTTAGTTGAGGGATTTACATACCAAGTTCTTGATTCGCAAAAAAACGTTCACAATTCTCGGTTTCTCGCTATATTTTGTAAGACAATGTAATTTTAATTATAATAAAACGCATTTTTAAAGTGTATTTGAGTGACCCAATTAAGAGTACAATGTTATAATAGAAATTGGTGATGTTATAATAAAATAATTTTGAAAATACAATGTTATAATAAGAATGTCATGCCAACACTATCGTATATGTGGACATCTAACGTGGACGATGAGGTGGCAAAGAAACATGGTATAATGGGTAAATTTAATTTAAAAGGTTACCCTATTTTATAACGAGTAAATTTTTGAAAGTACGATGCCCTAATAAAAAATATTTTGAAAGTACATTGTTATAATAAGAAAAATTGAAAGTAAAATGCTATAATAAGTTTATAAAAGTAGGTTGTTATTTCGCCATTTTTCCCAAATAAATATTAATTAAACTAAAATAAAATAAAGTAAAAATTAATTATAGTTACTAAATACTATACAAAACACTAAGAAATCAACACAATTTCAACGATTTGTAGTTAAGTTTTAATATTACACCATATTAACCATTAAAACTCAAATGTAAGCTTCGATATTCTACTATAGCTTCTCAGTTTCCAATGACGACAAATAAATACTGATAGTAGATACGTTCATCGATGTATAATACCACTAGGGATGTAAACGAACCGAACATTCAGCAAATCGTTCGTGAACCGTTCGGCGGAAAGTTCGTTTATTTAATAAATGAACGGACATGAACAATTTTTTTTGTTCGTTTAGTTAAACGATCGAACATAAACAAGAGTCCTGATCATTCATTTATGTCCGTGAACGTTCGTTCATTTATCGTTCATTTATATATTCGTACGTTTATATATTAAATTTAATATACAATCTTTTGTTTATTTACTTTGAATTCAAATGATATTTATTTATATTCGTTTATGTTCATTTATGTTCGTTTAGCATTTTAACGAACGAACATAAACGAACAGGAACACACATGATTTATAAACGAACGAACATGAACACAAAGATTTTCGTTTCGTTTACTGTTCGTGTTCGTTCATTTGTTCGGTTAAGTTAAACGAACGAACATGAACAAGCATTCGTTCGGATCGTTTACAGCCCTAAATACCACACGGAATCATCGTCATTGTTTTTGTCGTGTTTATCTCAACGATCGAAATAAAAATTGTGCGGTTCAAAAGGTTTCATAAAGAAAAAGAATAAACGGTAACGCATGTTTATATCGATATAAAACCATCTTATTTATACTGTCTTAAAAAATATCTCAAGAAAAGTCCAAATATGGGGTGGTTGAAAACAAGTATAATGAAATTTGCTATAAGAAAAATACTTAGACCACTCCTAATTGATACTTAATTTTTTTTTAAATCTAAATTGTGATTAGGCATGGGAATGGAGCAGGGACCTCAATCTCCGTCTCCATGTCCCTGTTTCCGCAGGGGAATATAATCACATCCCCATCTCCATCCCCAACGGGGAAACGAGGTTTTTTTTTCCCGTTTATGTAACATATTTTAAATTAAATATGTGAGAGACCATACATATTTAAATCTCAAAACATTTTCAATAAACCTAAAACCAAAATGAATTTAATTTAATACAAAAAAACCACAACATCATATAAGAATTAATAACCTAAAACCAAAAAAAAATATAATTTAATCCAAAAAAACTTAATGTCACATGTACCAAAAGATATTGAGTAATATAAAACCATATCGAGTAATTGTATTTTGACTTACATCCAAAATATTACATATTTTCATCCAAATAATAACAATTTTAGATTATAAACCTAGTTAGAAAATAAGAAATTATGAATTACCGTTTTAGTTGAAATAAATAATATATGTATATATATATATATAATTTATTAATTAATATACATAACGATACGGGGCGGGGAGTACTATACCGTCCCCATCCCCGATTTAGCGAGGAATCCCCGTCCCCAACCAAGGCGGGTGGACAGGGTTCCTCGACGGGTCGGGAGGCCATTCTCATGCCTAAGTGTGATCATGATAAGTGAACTTTGATTGTCTACCATAAATATCTCGATTATAATAAATGAACCATCATCATTTTCATAAATATCTTAATTATTTGTCTAAGATGGTTTGTATGAATTGAGAGATCTGCAAATAATTGAGACTCTATAATATACTCACACACACAATGAAAACGCAATTAAAAATATGATTACAAATTCCCTTTGACGAAACAAAAAAAATCCCCCTGGGTTATTAGGTTATGTTTGGCAACTTAGTGGGATGACTGATAAATTAGTTGTTAGTTTTATAAGTTAGCTGATAATTGATAAGTTAACTAATTAAGTAATCATGTTTAGCTAAAATTAGTTGATAAGTTAGTTCAAAAATATAAAATTATCAAAAAAAGATATGTTAAAAATTTAATCAATTTCATTACCTCATAATATATTTAAATAATAATTAATAATATATTTTATTAAGTTAATATAAGTTAGATAATAAATGAATTAAATAATATAATACTAGAAGAGTATTCGTGCAATGCATCGAGATACATTTTGATTTTAGTGTTTCGTTTTATTCCTTTTTTATGTCAATATAATGTAGTTTTATTTTGTTTTGAGAAAACGATAATGTTTTTATTTTTAAATAAAAAAGTTCTTGTGTTTTGATGTAATTTCTTTGATTCAATTTTTTTAATTATAATTTAATTTAGGTTTACTAATATAATTTTTTATAAAGGTAATAACTAAGTATTCTGTTAAAACTCAATGATTATCTTAATTATATTTTAAATTTTATATATTTAAAATGAGATGTTTATCCAATATTTGATTATGTTTATCTACAGTTAGTTACACAAATTCAAATATGGAGCTTTAATAAGTTGTACACATGCACAACTTACTTGTAATCTTAAATTTTTTTAAGTAATATGCATCAATAAATAGTACTTCGTGCATAAAAATGGTTTTTAAGAGTTTTTATCAAATGTTTTATAATATTAGAAGGATACTCGCGCAATGCAGCGAAATACATCTTCATTTAGTTTCATTTTATTTTTTGTCTCTCTTGATATAATACGGTTTATGTGGTTTTGAGAAAGATAATATTTTTATCTTTAAATAAAAATAAATATAAAGACATCATAAAATTTTGAAAAAAAATATATCAATATATATATATATATATATCAAATTAACTATTTAAAAATTCTCGTTTTTATATACAATCTCATTAATTCAATTTTTTATTATAGTTTAATTAAGGTCAAATAGTGAAGTAATTTATTTTTGGTTAAACAATAATTTTTTTTATCAAGATAATGATTATCATAATTATATTTTAGATTTTTTATTTAATATGAGATATTTATCTTATATTTAATCGGTTTATATGCAGTTAGTTATACGAATTAAAAAATGAAGCAATAAGTTGTACTTACGCACAATTTACTTGTAATCTTAATTTTTTAAGTAATATGCATTAATACATAGTGCTTCATGCATAAAAATGGTTTTTAAGAATTTTTGTCAAATGCTTTATAATTAGAATAATACTCGCACAATGCTGCGAGATACATCTTGATTTTAGTGTTCGTTTTTCTTGTCTGAATTGATTTTATAATACGATTTTATGTTGTTTTGAGAAAGTAATAATGTTTTTATGTTTGAATGAAATATAAATATGAAGATATCATCAAAATATTGAAAAAAAATATTAACATTAGTATGAAATTAACTATTTAATTTTTTTTGTGTATTTCTTTAATTCATTTTTTTTGGTTATATAGTATTATTTTATCATAAAGATAATAATCAAGTATTTTGTTAAAACTCAATGATAATTATAATTATATTTTAAATATTTTATATTTAAAAGATGTTTATTACATATTTGATTATGTTTATCTACAGTTAGCTACACGAATTCAAACATGAAATTATAATAAGTTGTACTTACGCACAATGTACTTGTAATCTTGAATTTTAAGTAATATAAATCAATAAACAGTATTTCATTCATAAAAAAATGGTTTGTAAAAGTTTTTGTTAAATGATTTATAATATAGTATATATATTAACTAATATTTTAATTCAAATATTATTATAAATTTTGGATTCGTATAACAAAATACATATTTTAGAAAAAATCTAAATTAAATGTAAGATTTTAAATAAAAATTACATACAACATGAATAAAGATAAAGTTATGGGATGTTTACCTAAATGTTTACCTGGTAAGTGCTTACCATTAAGAGTCAACACTATAATTTATTTTACTGGGTAAGGTTGTAGTACATCAAAACGTATTCCATGCAACAATTTTCCTGGTAAGTGCTTACCTGGGAAGAGTCGTCACCCTCACCTACCGGGTAAAACTCTCTATCCTTATCCTGGTTCTTACCGGATAAGATTCTTGGTTCTTGCCATGTTCATCTAGCGAGGAAAATTACCCGGTAAGTACTTACTACCGGGTAAGCGTTTAGTAAACGACCCCTTAATCAATCTTACAAAATTTAACGAGTTAATATTTAAAAAAAATAATTAAATAAAAATAAATTATCAAAGTTTTATTATTTGTGAAATAAAAAGACACTTTTAAAATTATTATATTTGCTTTTTGACGATTAAATATATTAAATAATAATAATAATATAAAAATAATCCTCCCATAATAAAATATTACCGACTAATCTAGAACACGATAATTCGGCTAATAATAGTCAACGTTTCCCATTCGACCTTTCTTCTAGATTCTTTTTAGCCACGTGTAGGATTGCTTTATTGGTCGACACAGATATCAATGACCCATGCCAATATGTCCATTTTAAACCATGAAATATAATTTGGGTTTGAAAACAAAAATATACAGTGGATTGGTTTAAGTTTAAACTTTAAAGATTAAAAAATATCTGAAGACTAATAAGAAATAAAAAATCTCTTTGTAGTCACGAAAATTTAAATACAGTGACTCCAGACTACCCACAAAACGGATAGTCGTTCTGGAATTAGTCGGTTCACATAGCAAACATTTAAGTTAGTAACACACGTGGATTCAAAAGAGAACACTTTTATCATATGTGATAATACACGTAAAAGCATCTGACGTTGTGTCGACAGCTTGACCCACGACCACGACCCATGCCACGTCAAAGGATAAATATAATTAATATAACAAAAGAATGCTATAATGTTTTCCTAAAATAACTGCAAAAATAGATTATATTTTTCGACAAAATTCAAAAATAGAATTTAAAAATTTTATTATATAAGAAACTATATTAAGAGAGTCGTTGACTCAAACTCTCACCAAATAAGCATTTACCGCACTTAACTTATCTGGTAAGATTTTACTTAATCAAAATAGTATAATATACAACAATTTATCTGATAAATACTAATCAGGGCCGTCCCTGGGGGAGGGCGACACGGGCGTACGCCCAGGGCCCAAAAATATCAGGGGCCCAAATTTCTCCTTAAAATATATAGTAGTCTAAAAGAATTTAATAAATTAACGAAACCAAAAAATTGTAGCATATAATAAGAGAGAAAATTAATTTAATAGATAATAAGGGCCCAAAAATATATCAACTAATTACATTGGAGAAGAAAATAAAAAAAATTAATTGGTCATTCATTGTATGTTATTGTTTATTGCCCCTCTAATTTTTTTTATCTCCACCAAGGTCCAATGATATTGGCTATTGCTATCTCTATATGTTTCACTATTTTCGTGCTTCAACAATTCAACGTTAGATAGTTTTATCAATTTCTATTTTTATTGACTATTGCTATTTGGTTATGTTGTTCTAATTGTTTTTGTTGACTATTGTTATCTATTTTTGCTTCTACATAAAATATTTTACTTTTTTTAGACAATTAATCTATTGTTCTTATGATTTATGACGTGTTTCATGGTTTTGTGATTAATCAATAAATTTTTTCTACTAGATGTATTTAGTAATGTCCCTTATATATGTCATGTTCCATAAACTTTTAATATTAAGATCTTATTTTAGTTGAGCAAAAAAAGAAGGAAATAGAATTTAAATATTTTCATCAATTGTTTGACTTATGTATCTTTCATTGGGATTCCACTACACCACAAGATTCTATTTAAGTGTTCAAACAATCATTTGTTGAGCTTGCATATTATATGTTTAATTCATTATTTATTTTTACTAGATTTTAATAGATCATCTTTTCTTTCATATTCTTATTGATCTTCATTTGTCTACTTGTCTAGAAGACTTTGATAATCTTCTTTATTATTGATCTCTCATTGACCTCACAATTATTTCATTAACACGAATTCTCTTTTTATATCAAAATAACACGTATTTCTTGTTATAAAGTAAAAATTTCTTACGTTTTATAAAAATTTATCAACCATTGTTTATATACTCTTGGTTTAAAATTACCTAATAAGAAGTACGTAAATTTAAATACTCTCTTATATATCTATAATAAAGATAAATAAGATTTATTTACTCTGTAAATTATTAGCATTTTTTGTACTCAATTTTATACTAATGAAAAACATTTATTGAATTTTTTTTCGTACTTACCGAAGGTCACTACAAGAAAAGTGAGATTTGACGATGCGCCTTTTAGCGATGACATGTGTCACAAGTTATAACGATGACATGTTGTTATATACTATTTCCAATGATAAACGAACTTTTAGCGACAACAAAAATGGTTGCTAAAAGCCTTGTTTCTTGCAGCGGGGCCCCTATTTTTATGTTCGCCCAGGGCCTAAAAAATGTCATGAACGGGCCTGATACTAATAAAACAATAATTGTCATCCTCATTTATCGGATTAAAATCTCTATCTTTATCTATAAGATTTTATGTATAAAATAACATGGCCTGATGAAGACTCACCGAAAAGCATATCATAAGGCCTAAATTTCCATACGGGTTGCAATCATAACTAATTAACTATATCCATCCCATCAAATCGAGCTAATGAATTTTGTTTACTGCGACAATGACGCTTATCTATCATCTTCTTCTTCTTCTTGTTTTTGTTTGATAATTATTAACAAACAAACAATCGCAAAGATCCACGGTTCTTACTTGTTATCGTCTCTCTCTCTCTAAGCCACGCACAATTTCCAATTTCCCATATGATACGAAGTCTCTTTCGTTGAGAACTTCGTCCATATTCCATCAAATCAAAACGTAAGCGCTGTCATCACCATTTTTGTTTTTATAAAACCCTGACTTTGAGAAATCTCTGTGACCTCGAAAAGGGTGTCGTGAGTTCAACATTTTCGCCCAATCCTCTTCTGGGTACGGATCTTTTTTCTGTTTCTGTGCAGTTTTGGTAGTTTGAATGCTTCGTTAATCCAAAATATATATGGGTATTTTTCGTTTGATCATGGAAGCTGCTGGTTTAATTTGATTACTACTAGTTAGATTGAAATATTCTTGGATGTTTTCATTGTGATATCAGTTGTAGTAGTCTTTCTTTATGGGTTTCTTGATGGAAAAGAAAGGGAACATGAACTCCATGATCAAAGATTTGAAGTTCTTAAAGCTGTTTTAATTATGTTTGTGAAAAGGAAAAGAAAAGAAATCGATACGTAGGGATAAGTTTTTCTTACTCTAGTGCTTTTGAATCTTGTTCCTAGGTAACTTCAGTAACTCAGAAGTCATAGACACTCTGGTTTTGTTTCTTATTTTGCATATATTTATGATGATCTTGTAAAAATTTCAGTTTTGCCCATCATAAATGGTCTTGGTTGTTCATTTGAATCTAATGACTGTTCTTAATGACAGTGTCTTTCTATTTGAGTGTCTATATCTGTTTGGAAAAAATAGAAAATTGAGAACAGAAACAAGAAAACAAAATCCAATTCTTGGTTCGTGGATATATATATATATATATATATACACATACATACATATATATATATATATATATATATATGGAAGTTAACTTTAAGGGATGGCTCAACAGGCAAATAAAGGATCTCATAGGTCGTCAGTTCGAGTCTCTTTTGAAGTACTTGGAATTTACGTAGCTGATATCTTCAGAGTCCCATGGGATTAGTCTAGTGCACCCAAATTGGTTCAAACACCCACAGTTTTTGCCTTTGGCGCTCGGGTCTTGACACAAAGAAACCAAAGAAAGAATCTTGAAAACCTTACCTTGTTTTAGAAATTCATGATGCATTGGTTTATGATCCATTACTTTGATAAAATGTATGGATTTAATCAATGAATCTATCATCCATTTAGTAGCACAAGAATGATGTTTTTTGAATTGGTTATCTTAATTTACCCTTTTTTTCTCCAGATTAGTTGGCTTCAAGAATCAACAATGTCACCTAGTACTCAAAGTCTGGTGTTCTTATTAGCTATCGTGTTATTGGCAATATGCGGTCGAATTTCTCAAGCTCGCGTAACAATTGAAAACGGGGTAAAAACGATGGTGTATTTATCACCTAAGATAACCCAACAGCCGGGTTCCGTTTCAAACAAATTCTACTATGATATCGAGTTCCCAAAAGGTCATATTGCTTTAAAGAGTTTCAATGCTGAAGTTGTTGATGAAGCAGGGAACCCTGTTTCTCTTCAAGAAACTTATCTCCACCACTGGGTTGCAGTAAGATACTACCAACGTGAGGGTGTTAAAGATGTAAAGTATAATGGTAAGCTCGGGTTCCAACAATCAGATATCATTATTGCTGGGAATTCTGGAGTATGCAATCATGGTCTTTCCCAATTTTTCGGCCTGGGATCAGAGACACGAAAAACATCCACTTACATTCCTGATCCTTATGGAATTGAAGTGGGTAATCCACTCGAAATTCCTGCTGGATATGAAGAGAAATGGTTGTTTAATATCCACGCAATTGACACTCGGGATACAGAAGATGCAATGGGATGTACTGAATGCAGGTATCATGTAATTTAAAGCATTTAGCATCAACATCATTCTGTTTGTAGTATTCGCTATGATTGTTCTCTTGAAAACATCGTTCTTACTCACAAAAAGTACTCATCTTTTGATATTGAAACTAGAAAATCAGTTGGAATGGAGGTAGCATATGGTTCTTTATGTTATTATTGCTTCTGTAATGCAGATGTAACTTATATAATGCAACTGTGGATGAATATGGTCGGCCAGTGAAACCGAGTTATGTGGGAGGATTGTTGTGTTGCTACGATGGAATGCAATGCAAAGTGAATAACGAGCTTAAAAGTGTCGAGAGAAGCCTTTACCTGAGGTACACTGTTAAGTGGGTAGATTGGAGTGACTCAGTAGTGCCCGTTAAGATCTTTATATTGGATGTCACTGATACTTGGCAGTCCACAGGAATCCATGATTGCGTGGTAAGTTAACTTGGTATGCTTCATGATCTTTTGACATAAATTTGTCGAAATTTGATACCTTTTTGTAGTTAAAGTTCGAAGCTTTTTGCTATCTTGGTAAATAATTGAACCATTGTCCTGCAGATTGAGTTCAATGTTGAACCATGTACCACTGGGYTTGCTACTAATGACTGCATCAGCACCCGGAGATCAAATGTGAGTTTCCCGACTGCTGGTGATGTCATCTATGGTGTTTCACACCAGCACAGTGGTGGAATAGGTTCCGCGCTATATGGAGAGGTAAAGACTTCAGTTTTTGGAGTCGGGTTTTGTTTCTTTCGACTTGGTTTTGTGTCTATAAGTACCGAACACACTTAAGATATGATGGTCATGCAGGATGGACGGGTTATTTGTTCGTCGAAATCTATATATGGGAAAGGAAATGATGTAGGAGATGAAGCTGGTTACATTGTAGGGATGTCCACATGCTACCCTGAACCAGGCTCTGTGAAGATATCTAAAGGCGAAATTGTAACCTTTGAGTCTACTTACAGCACAGAAAAGAGCCACACTGGAGTTATGGGGCTTTTCTACCTTCTTGTTGCGGAGTCTTCTTCGGAATTAAATGGTCGAGTTCAAGTATGATTTCTACCCTTTATCTGATAAACTGTAACGATTGAAGTTGGTGCGTAGTTTAAGTAAAACGTTTAGTTATTTGTCAAATATCTAAAACGCTCTTCAATAAAGACAAATAACAATCAACGTGTGTAGACGAACCCAACAACGAATGCGTAACCAAATTAGATCCCAAGTCTGTTCGGTGCAAGTGGCAACCAACAACTTAAACGTAATGTAAGCAAATAAACGAACACAAAGATTTAACGTGGTTCCGTTATTGTGATAGTGGAAATTCACAAGGAGATTTGGGGTTTTGTATATTCATAATGAATGGAGGAATAATATAAGAGAGCTTACCTTTTAACAATGATCAAGAAATAATCCCAAGGTAATAATGTTATCTGCTAACAATGATCGAGAGACTCGGTAGTTACCTTCAATTACCTGAAAATGGACTTCTCAGTTTAGATATATCTAAAGGAGCCCGTTTAAGGAAAAACTTATTAGTTTGTGGTAATCGTGAGATTTAATGTAAACCACTCGTTTGAGATATTTTAGGATATTTTTTAAATAAGCTAAAAAACTAATATAGTAATTATATTTTTGACAACTAATTAAATTATTTTTTTAGAAGAAAATATTTAATTAAAATTAGTTACCTAGTAAGTATATCAATTACATAATATACATCGTATTTTAAAGACGTTTGTGAATCAAAGTGTATTATAGTGATAACTTCACAATGTATTATCTTTGTTTTATAAAATGTATCATAGTGTGCATTTTCGTTGTTTTCATTGCTTTCAATAGATATCACATTGTGCATCTTGTATGTATATTTGGATATCACAATGAATATCATTTGTAGGTATCACAATGTGTATCTTCTGTTCATATAAGGTTCATCAGAATAAGGTTCGTCGAATAAGATTCACGAATTCATAACACTCATTACTAGTTGTAACATTCCAGACTAACCGTACCAAATGTTGTCTGCTTTGTCCACACCTAGACTCACGGTTTTAAAACATGTCTGATAAAAGAGGTATACAAGTTCCTTATTAGGCGGCCATCGTTCCCCTCCCCAACCGATGTGGGACCTGACACTAGCTGTATCAGAGCGAAAGTGAACACATATCAACAATGATATGTGCCGTTGAGATCCTTAATATCTTCAATTACACTTGATTTACTATAATTTTACCATATCTCCCAGAAAACATCGTGCAAGAAAGGACACTTGATGTGCCATAATTTTCTAGACTTCTGTTTATCTTGTACTGCTTGTTTATCTTGTACTGCTGCCTAGAATTCTTATCTTAATACTTGTAGAGGCTAGATTTTTGCAGAAATACCTTAGAGCGTCTCTAACAGGAGGTTCTTGTAAGCAAAAAATATAGCGACTTATAAGAACTACATTAGAGAGAGTTCTTAGAACATCTCTAACAGATTCTCTAAAAGGGAGATTTTGGGGATTTTTGCTCCAACAGATTTCTTAACATGGAGAAAGTTGGAGAGAGAAGGTGAAATTCTCGAAATTTGGATCTCTCTCCAAATAAATAATTACCATGATTTTGGAGTTCTTAGCAAGTAACGGATCATCGAGTTGAAGATTAGAACTCCCCAATATGAGTTCTTGAACTTATATGAAGAATTCATGGACATTTTTGAAAGAAAGTCTTCAAATTTATGTTGCAAAAAAGCCTGGTTTTCTAGTTGTCAAAACTTTTTTCTGTTATGTTTGGTTTGCAGATTCATCAAGAACCAAAAGTACCCATCTTTTTGTGGGGTGTAGCCATGTTTGGGTTGGCAATTTCTGCTGCTGTTGTTGTTGCTTATCGACGAAGAAAGCAATACGATGATGGATATCAGTTTATTGCAACTTGAGCTTCTTTCCTCGATCTTGATGGCGGAGTTTTACAAACATGAGTATTGTAAAAGAACATAATGAAATATTACTACGGAATAAAGTGTGGTCGAGTTTATCACCGTATTCGTGTATGCATTTAGGACGATGGTTTTGTAACATATGTTTGACGTTTTATGATATGTACTTTGTTTATCTTCCTTCATTTATTTCAGTGGCATTTTCCTTGTTTGCACGTTAAAATCTGTCAAATACATGTTTCATTTCTCACTATGGCATATTGAAGTCTGTCGGACTTAGATTAATCTTTTTTCATGAAAAATTGACGTCATTTGCAACGTCGATTTTTTTTTATTTTACAAACTTATAAACCAATTTTTATATGTTAAAATGCAATGTTGAATGCTTCACATATGAAACAATATTGTCTATGCATTGTTGTATATAAAACATGAAAATGGGTTTGTATGATTTATTGGGTTTGAGTTTAAGTGAGACCAATACGTTTTCATGAGACCAGTAAGATTATAAATAATGTTGAAACTTCATAGCAAAATATTGTTGAAACTTCATAGCAAAACATTGTGAAGATATAAAAAAGATTGAACTTTTATAGTGTTATGTCGTGAAGGTTTAGTGTTATTTATCTGGCCTTACAAGTCTCATAAAAACATCATGATCTCATATAATCCCTTGTCTTGTGGGAACATCTCTAACAGATTCCATAAAATGGAGAATCAATAGACAAAAATTTGGAGAATTTCACTCCCTCTCTCTCCTCCTTTTCTCCATTTTTGGTAAGGTTTTGAAGAATCCATTGAAGCAAAAATTCTTAAAATCTAGGGTTGTTCGCGATACAGTCTGAGACCAAACTGCAGTACATATGCAATTGGAGTGTTTTCTCACACCACAAACCGCATCGCATAAAACCACAAACTTGCGGTGCAGTTTATGCAGTTTCTCCCTATCCCATATTATGCCTACAATCCAAAAATTATAAATCTAAAAAAACACATTAGAAAATTAACAATAAAGCGATCGTAGTTCAAAAAATAAAAGTTTCAATACATCTGATTACCAAAAACATATTGCATAAAATTAAAAATAGTCTAAGAAGTAAAAATTAAACTTCAAACTAAACCAGACGTACGAGTTGTGACATGTTCAAAATTTTCTTTCATCTCGATTCTTTAAACCCGGTTCCCGATTGGCCAATTATTTATTTAAGATAAACAGCTATATTACGTCAATAGTACTAAATTGTTATATATATATATATATATATATATATATATATATATCCATCCTATATTATAAAACATTTGATAAAAACTCTTAAAAACCATTTTTTGTGCGCATAAATTCCTGTTTATTGATGCATATTACTTAAAATTCAAGATTACAAGTAAATTGTGTATATGTACAACTTATTAAAGCTTCATGTTTGAATTCGTGTAAGTAACTGCAGATAAGCATGATCAAATAGAGGATAAACATTTCATTTTAAATATAAAAAAATCTAAAATATAATTAGGATTATCATTGAGTTCTAACAAAATACTTAATCATTATCTTTATAAAAAATTATATTATTAAACCAAAAAAAAAATATAAAGAAATACATAAAAAGGAAGAAATTTTAGATAGTTAGTTTCGTACAAATATCAATATTTTTTTTCTTCATTTTTTATGATATGTTCGTATTTATATTTTTTCCAAAACTTAAAAACATTATCGTTTTCTCAAAACCACATAAAACCGTATTATAACATCGACTGAAACAAAAAAAAAACATTAAAATCGAGATGTATCTCGCTGAATTGTGTGAGTATCATTCTAGTGTATATATATATGTTATATACAAAAGTAAGAAATAAAAATACACAAAATATGCGATGCGCTGCAGTTTGAATCGCAGTTTAATAATTCAAAACCACAGACTGCACAGTATACTGCGAAATAAAAATGCAAACTGCAAACGACATTACATATACACAATATTTTTACTATAAATAGAAAATATAATGATCCAAAAATTTAAGTTCTTTGAAAATGATTTTATGTGAATAGAAAAATAAAAAGATTTGGTTTGAAACAAAAGATTGTGATGAAAAAATTTGGGGGAGAAAGAAAGATGACGCTTGGTATTATAATTCAGTCCCACACCTCCATTCCCATTCTCCCGTTCTCTCTTTCTCACACACGCACACACAGACGTGTGTGTGTGGAGGTTTCTTTGAACGATTTCTACAGGTTCCCTGTATTCTCGGTTCTTTCCACCCCACCCACTTGAATCCCTTTGTCATCATCCAACCCTCTTTCCGCCATTAACAAAAAAGCTCCACAATTTTGACCTTGGGTCAAGTTATCGGACAACTTTCAAAGATTCTTCAAATATTCTTTATACTGTATGCGTTTTCATCTCTCGAACCTAATTCCATATATATACATAGGAAATATTTGTATCTATATGCGTAGATCTGTTTCCTTCTACCAGAATTAGACTATGTGTTGGAGAAATTGAGGGTTTGATTCTTCATGGCGTCATCTGCGATTAAGCATTCGGAGGATCATCATCTTCGTCGTCGACCTGTGGCAACGGACTTAATGGCGGGATGTTGTAATCCTGTCAAGGAGCAAGGGCCGGTGACGTTGGACCATGTGTTATTGGCGTTGAGAGAGACAAAAGATGAGAGAGAATCTCGATTTCGTGGTTTGTTCAATTTTTTTGATACATCAAACGCGGGGTACTTGGATTCTGTTCAGATCGAGGTAGGGCTATCGGCGTTGCAAATTCCGGCGGATTATAAGTACGCCAAAGACTTGCTTAGGGTTTGCGATGCAAATAGGGATGGAAGAGTTGATTATCAGGAGTTCAGGAGGTATATGGATGACAAGGAACTTGAGCTTTATCGGATTTTTCAAGCCATTGATGTTGAACATAATGGTTGCATTTTACCGGAAGAGCTCTATGATGCTCTGGTTAAGGCTGGTATCATCCCATACTTACCCTTTTATGTTCCTAATTATATGCAATTTACTTCAATTTTTCCAATCAGTTGGTAGCAGTAGAGTGAAAATTGGATCAATTCACATGTGAAGTGAACGTGATAACTTGTGAAATAGTAGTGTAGAAAGAACTTATACACTGAAAGCTTGTTCTTGCACTTTTCACTGTGCCATTGCTAATGAAATGGTTAGACTAAACTATGGGGAAATTGACCAAAATAGCCATTTTGGACTAACATCTTCAGTTTTTAGCCATTTATTTTTCAATTTGACCAAAATAGCCAAGATTTTGCAAGTGCCCATTTTGGAATTAAATATGATTTTGGTGGGGTCGGCTTGCGGCATTGGCGCGACAGCTTGCTAAATGACCCAACATAATCATATTTTATTCATAAAAGTACATTTAGCAAGTTGCGAAAGAGACACTTGCGCTATTTTGGTTCAAAGAAGAAAAAATTCATCTAAAATAGCCAAATTAATTATTTTAGTCTATGGTCTCATGAACTTCTTGATGTTGACGGTTATTGATCGTGGCTTGTAGTGATCTCCAAGTTCATTATCATGACTGAGTTACATATCTATATGGAAAAAGAAAAAAAAATTGATTAGTATAATAAAATTGAAGATTGGGATGTTTAATCATCTGATTCTGCAATGATACTTTGCATCGATTTGCTCCAGGATCATTAGGCTTATAAGGGGACAGACTAACATTGTATATCAAGCTTTTATACACAGAAATAAATGCGTCAATTTGCATTCATAATGTTGATAGATATAAAGTGGGAAATCTTCTGGATCCAATTCCAGGCTTTGATGTAGTGAAAACTATTAATTCACTAGACGGTATGCCTAATGTTTTCTTTTGGGTAAATGCTTTATATGGAATAGATATTCTTTGTTTGTGTACCGCGGGCCTTGTATCCAGGTCCTCCCCTGCATGGTTTTATAACCTTGGATTGTGTGTTGGCAAGTGATCTTATGCACTAACGTTTGTTTGGAGTTGTTTTTTTGGTGGAAATCCAATTAACCAAACATAAACTAATGGTAACTAAGACAATGATTAATAAGACAAGGGTATTCACAACTTTGATATGCTTAACTAAATCAATTGTGTATTCACAATTTAGATTGCCCTTCGATTCTATAGATTGTTTTCTGCAATATGCGTCATGGATTAGCAAACTGTCTGCAGTTTGCGTAATGAAATTGGCTCATTGAGAAAAAAACGCTCATCAGCTTCGCATTGTTAACACAAAAGTATCATAAATGTAGTTATACGTCTTTGAAAAGGAGAGTATATTGTTTCCTGCAATGCGTTTAGTGCATATAGAATTTGTGTCATCAACAGTATGAGTGCTGTTATTGGGTTATTTAGCTAAATGACCTTCTGACAAGTGTTTTTTCAAGTCCATGACCTTTTAACAAGTTTACAGGCCTTGTTGTGCATGAAAGTTGCATTCTTTTGTTAAATAGTGGCATTCTCAAATCTGTCTGAAGGTCATGGATTTAAAAGAACCCGTGTCAGAATTGCTATCTTATGGGTTGAAAAATAATCAAATATTGCACATTGGGAACCTTAATTGAACATATTTCTGGTCCAATAATATGCATGTTTAGAAGTAAAGCCATGATCCTTGTTTCTGTGATCAAGTTGATAGTGCTGTTTTGAGGCAAAAGCATATAAAGGCACCATCCTCCATAAGTTTCTTAAAACCATTTCTTTCTGTCCATTAATGACTCTACTTTGAATCACCTTCACATTGTCATCATCATCATCAACGCAATTTTTACTCCCCTGACCCAAAATAATTGACTATATTTATATTTTAGTTTGTTGTGAATAAGTGTCCACTTTCCAATTCTATCATTAATTATGAGATTTACTCCCTTATCATTAAGGGTAAGATTGTCATTTAGTTAATTAGAAGTATAATGATTACATATTCCCAAATCCCAACTGCACAACATTATTTTGCATGTTTGGTGCTATTCTGTTTGTGGCTTCTTTAAAGTGTTCCAGTTCTTTGAGTTGTCTTCATCTTATTAGCCATGGCAGCTTTTCTTTTGCAGGGATAGACATAGATGATGACGAACTAGCTAGCTTTGTGGAGCGTGTTGACAAGGATAACAATGGCATCATAACTTTTGAAGAATGGAGAGACTTTCTTCTTCTCTATCCTCACGAGGCAACGATTGAGAACATCTACCAATATTGGGAGAGGGTTTATCTTGTAGATATCGGAGAGCAGGCTATAATTCCTGCAGGCATCAGTAAGCATGTTCATGCTAGCAAGTATTTGATCGCAGGTGGGGTTGCTGGAGCTGCTTCTCGTACAACAACTGCTCCTCTTGATCGTCTTAAAGTTGTACTGCAAGTTCAGACCTCTAATGCCTCGATTGCGTCCGCAGTTAAGAACATATGGAAGGAAGGTGGCATTTTATCTTTCTTCAGAGGTAACGGGCTAAATGTTATTAAGGTTGCCCCTGAAAGTGCCATCAAGTTTTACACTTACGAAATGTTGAAGAATTTCATTGGCGGGGATGGAAAGGATGATATTGGAACTTCCGGGCGTCTTCTTGCTGGTGGTATGGCTGGTGCGGTTGCACAAACAGCTATTTATCCTATGGATCTAGTCAAGACTCGTCTGCAAACGTTTGTTTCTGGAAATGGGAAAGTTCCTAGCTTGGGAAAACTTTCCAAGGATATATGGGTTCAGGAGGGACCTCGAGCTTTTTATAGGGGGATAGTACCTTCTCTTTTTGGAATTATTCCGTATGCTGGAATTGATTTGGCTGCATATGAGACTTTGAAGGAGATGTCAAGATCATACATTATTCAGGACAGTGGTATTATCCGACACCCTCTCTATGTATACCTGTAGATTTTGGTAGTAATCATGCATTTTAAATCTTTATTTAACTTTGTCGCGCAGAACCTGGTCCGTTGGTGCAATTGGGTTGTGGGACGGTTTCGGGGGCTGTTGGAGCCACTTGCGTATACCCGTTGCAAGTTGTGAGGACAAGGTACCATTGCATTTACTTGCAAATAGTTTAATTATTGTAGAGTTTGTGAAACTATGAATCTGACACCCTTTTGATGAAAGATCATCAATATTCCTCCATATGGGTGTGCATCCAATTAGAAACGACGGACCATCATTGGACCAGATTGGATCAAAAATTTCAGCAGCCAAATTGGATTGGTCTGTTCTAGGCTAACAATCCAGAATCCAATAAAACTTATTGGTTAAATCCAATTACCATCCAACTATTCCAATTAATAAATATATTTTTAATATTATGATTGTGCTTATAAATTATGTTGGTACGGATATCTATTTGATATTTGTGTACAGTGTTTTTAAGGAAATCAGATAAAATATATGAATAAATGGTTGGAAAATTGGAGTGATGAATAATGATGTTAGTTTTGATTCAGGATGCAAGCACAACAGCCAGGTGGATCAAGTGCTTACAAAGGGATGTTTGATGTGTTCATGAGAACATATCAGAAAGAAGGTGTAAGAGGTTTCTACAAAGGACTTGTACCAAATCTTCTGAAAGTTGTACCAGCAGCTAGCATTACATATTTGGTTTATGAGACCATGAAAAATACTTTGGATCTTGAATGATCGGATGCTGACGAAAATGACGATAAGAATAATAAAGATGAGGTACTGCCCATTAATTGTTTGAGTTTACATTGATAGGAGGAGTTAATTTCCCGTGTTTTTACGGGGTTTTTGTAGCACAGAAGAGATATATATATATATATATATATATATATATATACCTTCTCTACTGGAATCTCTCATTCCTGTTTGTCTATTATTACTAGATAACTTGATTGACCCATGTATACTTGCACTTTGACTAGCTCTCATTCAATACCATCAAAACTTGGCAATTCTTTCTTTCTTTGTTGCACTTTAAGGGATCTGCATTTGTTAACCAAACAGAAGGCCTTCATCTCTTTGATGGCTTAAGAAATCTTGATCAAGATTTGGTCTTTATGTACCCTTATATTCTAGAAGAACACCGGAGCGTGGGTGTTTGGATGTGTTGTGAAACTGAATGAAAAGCTTGGAAAGAGGAAGTGAAGCACCAAATGAGCTAAACACACTCAGGGGTTTGTTTACATAAGGCAGAATGAAATAACGCAGAAAAAAGATCGTTGTTTTGGTGTTGACCATTAGACTGGGATGCGATTAAGTGGGACAAAACTGCTTTTTCAGTGGAACGAAAATCAGGAAGATTAGATATGATTGGTGTATTATTAAGCTATTTATATCCAATTTAAACCTTAAAACCTTGTGTTCGTGTACCAAATGCATCCCAGTGAATCCCAGGAGCCAATTGACCTGTAGGAATAACATGTTGATGAGGTCTATCTTGAACCCCGAAGGGCACTCGTTTGGACTGATCTGGGACTAGGTCCACCTAGGATTGGGGTCATTAGGCCTCTCAAAGGACCAGTTAGGACCATCAATTACCATTTTCAGGGATAAAGGTTAGTTTAATTAGAACCAAACATGAATTGGTAATAAGCTAAAACTTGTAACATTGAGTTTAGGCGAATGAATAAAGGGATATTGGATAAGTCTGATAAGAACATAGTTGGTTTTAGTAGATAAGACTTTATAAGATAACTTTTCTACTTTATCCATTCAGTTTTTTTCTTTTCAAATGCCATTGCATATAATGTAGTTGTGTTCCTTCTCTTGGAAATTGATGTAAATCATTTCTTTTTGGCTTGTTTGCTTTTTTACTTTCTTTTGCTTAGCCATCAAGGTAAGCTTCATCACCTTTCTCTTCCATCATTTTCCGGATTACGGATTCTCATGTTCTTGTCGGTTTCACTTTGCCAAACCATCCATCTCTATCTGAATCAAAACTACAAACATGGCATTGTTGCTTCAAGATTGCTTGCACCTTGAAGATTAATCACTAGACAACCCATTAAGACATACTTACTAGACAACCCATTAGACATACTTACTAGATAACCCATTAAGACATATAGATATTGTAGAAAAGACTGATGAAATCTAAAAACAACAGTATTAAGGTTGAGATAGCTATAATTTCACATGGATTGATACTATCAACCAGTGATCTAAAACCAAATTACAACAACATACTAGATCATTCATCGATGACCTTAAAGATAATGGATCCAGTACTCGAAACAAAAACACAAAAACAAAATAAAGAAAAACTGCTGGAAGAAAGGCATCACCTTCCCTTTGCCTGAATGACTTGCCTCTTAAAAGTTAGTTCATGTATCCTCCTTTTTTCTCTAATCCATTCACAAAAAGATGAGATCAAAAAGGGTAGTGGTATTCTGCTGCACCTGTATACCTAGCCATCACTGTCATCAGTATCCCCATCTCCATCTCCTTCTTCTTCTTCTTCCTCTGCCACATCTTTGATTAAGTGATAGCTGATGGAGATAGATCTGTTGTTTCTCTAGCCAGGTGAATTTATAACAACCATGTAGTTAGTCACTTAGTGAAAAAGGAGGAGATAGATAATGGAACTTTCCTAATGGTCCCCTTTGTCTTTATTCTCAAATTTAGCCTTATAATCATCCACCACTAATTAAAGATTTATATTATTCTTTTTGAACATGATTACCATTATCTTTTTTACCCCTTCCTGGGTCCTAAAAACCAGAGTAAATCTTGCATGAAACTATCTGTTACTGTCTTTGAAACCGTTCACACCCTTCTAAAAAGTAATCTAATAGGGTTTTACGCATTGTCTACGATAAAGATTTAATTTCAGATCAAGAACTGAAAAAACAGTATACATTGTCTACTGTTATGGTGCTGCTGCCCTACAAACAGAAAGGGGGAAAAGTGGTGATTAGCAACAAAATGGAGGAGAATAATAAAAGGTGATATGGATGTGCAAGTAGTTTGGACCACCCAACTCATCATAATCAAGAATTACAAAGGAATAATGATGGGTGTCTTCCCTAACCCAACTAATTAACTCTCATTGCTTTATGGTTTGGTTTACTCATAAACTCACAATCAAGAATCAAATCAAAAAGAAAGAATCATGATGGGTTCTTTGACCAATATCAACTTTTAACATCGGTCTTTTTCTTATACAAACTCAATAATCTATATAAACTTCCAAACCAATATATGAAACAAGAAGTATAAAAATGCAATATTTATACAGTGTTGTTTCATATGTGAAATTTCACAACTATAAAACAATTTTGAATATTTCATATATGAAACAACACTGCAATTTTATACGGACAAACATATAAAAATTGGTTCATAAATTTATAAGATATATTGGGTACAAATGATTGTGCATATCATGTGTTTGGGTTTTTAGTTAAAATATACATTGAATTCTTTTTTATTTGTTTCTTTATAATATTTTATTAACAATAATCATAATAAAGATTCCAAAAGTAAGAATCTTGATGAAGGTCCTTAGTGACTAATTATTAGTGGAGTGAGTGTGATACAACCTCTTCTTGTCCTAATGCATAACCATTTATCCTTACTATATATATATATATATATATATATATATATATATATATAGGGTTGGGTTCACGTGAGACCAA